TTGTTGCCCCCTTTGTTCGGGCAGCTATGTTTAATGGCTCGAAGTTTTTCTTTGGGGGGATTTCTGTTTATGATACCATGAATCAAGGCATACAATCGTTTTATGATGATATGGAAGAGGGAAAAGGACGGTTTGGGTTTCAAAAGAACCTAATCACTAATGAACGTCTGCTTTTCTCCTCGTCTTCCTCGAAGGAGAGGGAGGAAGGAGAATAGGAGAAAAAACCGGCTGGCGGTTGATTAACCAATCCATTGTTTTTTTCTGTACATAATAGGGACTCCGGGGTCAATGATTTGTTTCTGTATATGATACAAGCTGGGAGCTTTGTGGTTATAGGAACTCGGATTGAATCAAAAATTGGAAAAGGGAATAGGATAGGGAATGCATTGCAAGGTATTCAATCCGAATAACATGGCTATCTATCAACATGGGTACCTAAAGAAACACTGGCGCCTACGTTTAGGCAGTGATGATCACAAAACAAAATGGCGTGAGATGAATGCTACTCCTGTTCACATATTATTCGACTAGATCTTCGCACATGTTTTGGGTCAGTTATACCTCTTCCTATAAGTATACCTAAAGTTCTCAGCCTTTTTATGGTACCGAAAGTCTCTGGCTATTTCCCCCATTTCCTGTCAGATATCAGGAATTGTCTTCCGTTTGAAGCCACATAGGATGATGTCAAGGGTCTATAACGCTACAGAAACCTCTGGTGGGTGTCCTCTTGTAATCGAACCTTTCTTCATCTGCCATGAGGCCTCTTAGATAGAAAATATTAGTCTCACAGCATTGATTCGAAGTGAAACAAGAAAAAAAAAAAAAAAAAAAAAAGAAAAAAAAAAAGAGAAAAAAATTGGAAAACAAAAGATGGCTTCTATTTAAAACACCCAAACAAACAGCTTGCGTGGTCCAGACCAGACCGACAGACAGGAAAAGGGGGTATGTACATGGTTCGACATGTCCCAAGAAGATAGATCCCGATGATGCAGGCTACGATCACACCCACTTGGTAAAGTAGATAGATAATATAGGTAGGGCCCATGGATTTGTAGCTTGTAAAACACTGAACTTTTGTCCAAGAGACCTTTTTCCGTCTCTTCCAGCCGCTGTACACATATTGAAGACTGTTAAACCTGTCTGTCTGTCTGTGTGCCTGTAGTGTACTGTCTGTTACTGAAACTTGCTTGCTTGCTTGCTTGCCCATTGAAATTCCGCCATTCAGTGGGCAGGCAGTCAAAACTTGGTTGGGTGGGTAAAGTTTTATGGAATCATCCAATTTTTTCTGTCTCTTGATACATAGAGAGGTATTTACCCTCAACAAAGGCTATTTATTCCTCATGAGAGGAGCTCTCAACCTAAGGCTCTGTCTGTCGGCTGCTCCTCATGCAGTATTCATTGATATGCAATTCCATTCACTTGTCTTCCTCCTCCTCCTCGGCCACTCTTTCTCTGAATTCTTCCTTTCATTTTGTCTGACTATTCTTTTAGTCCTTCCATCCCATCCATCGGCTTCCACACCACTTTCAGCCTCTCTACCTGTACCCATTCATCCTCGGCGGCAAGCCATGATGATGAGGCGGAGGCGGCGGTAGCGGTAGCCGCAAGTCTACCGAGCGCATCGGCGGATCTCGACCACCAATACCCATATCCCTATCTCGCGTTCTCGACCTTTCTCTACCTCGGCCTCTCGCGGACGATCTTCCGTCGTTGTTGTACAGCCTGTCGCGGTCGCGGTCGCGGATGTCTTTCCCTGGATGATCACGGCCTGGCCCTCCGCCGACGCCTCGGATGGGGTCTCTGGGATCGCGCTCCCTTGGTGGTGGTGGTCGGTCCCGTTCGCCTCGCTCGCGATCGCGGACCCGGTCCCGGCTCATGTCCCTCACTCTATCTCTGTCTCGCTCTTTCTCGCGATCACGCTGCTGATCTCGGTGGTGTTGTTGTTGTTGCTGTTGTTCCCTATCCCTGTCCCGATCACGGTCTCTATCACGGTCCCGTTGTTCGCGCTCTCGCTCACGCTCACGCTCACGCTCACGTTCCTTATCACGCTGCGGCTGGTGGTCCCTCTCCTTTTCCTTTTCTTGCCCCTTCTCCTTTTTGGCCTCAGCCGCCATCTCAGGCTTCATGATCATAGGCGTCCACTTGACCTCCTCAATCTCCGCCCATTTCTTCATGACGCCCATTGCGCTTAATACCGCCTCCTCGATCTTGGTCCACGGCCCAACCGTCATTTTGACTCGCTTGTCATCCACAAAATCCGCCAGCCCATATAGCTCATGCCAGACCTCGGGCCTCAAACGCTCCATCTTTTGCCACCTCGCAAGCAGGGCCGGGGCCGTCGCCTGGTCGGCCTGGCTGAATGTTGCTGTGATGTGCTCGAGCATGACGGCGAATAGCTGCGTTGTGAGAATCCGGAACGGTCGAACAGAGTAAACGCGCTTCTTCAGCTCGCTGAAATGCGGCACCAGAGACTCCCACGTCGCGAAATCGGGCGGTCGGCGATCCATCATCCGGGAGTGGTTGAAGTTGTAAAAGGCAATCATGTAGGCCAACACCATCTCAATGTGAAGGACCATGGCGCGCTTGGTCTCCAGAGTCATGGCGGCCGATGAAATGGTCTTGAGCTTGGCTGGGTCGCGCAGCTGTGCATCAACTGCGTCACGCTGGTGCTTTAGTTTACTTCCATATGCACGATACTCGGCGTCTCGCTCGCGGAACGGTGCGGCCTCGGCGGATGGGGGCGGCAGAGGCGGTACCGATGAGCGCTCGCCCATGCCGGGAGTGATGTGTCTCGTCGGGGGCGGCCCTGGTGTTGCATTCTGGGATTGAGTTGATGGGACGCGGGACATGGCCGGTGCGCTGGGTTTGAGTGGTGTTGTCATTCCTGTTGGTCTGGCGATAACAGTGTCGCCTACTGCTGCTGACTTTGGTCGTTTTGCAGCGACAGTTTCGGACGGTGTGTCGTCCGGGGCCCGTGGCCGTTTTCTAGCAGGTGGAGGGGTAGCCTCTGCTCGTGCAGCAGTGCGTTCCTTCCTCATTGCGTCCTTTACAGCCTTGGAAGGCAGGCTCAGGAGATCCTTTGCCCTCTTGGCGTTGGCTTTCTTCAGCCTCAACGTGACGATCAAGGAAGGTTCTTGTTCCTCCTCTTCTTCGTCTTCCTCCTCGATAGGCTCAGCCTTCACCTTGGTCTTCCTCGCAATGCTCGGTGAATCTGGCAGCTGGGTCTTGATGTCCCTAGACTCAATCTTGGACGGTGTGCTTTTGAACTTGCGTGCGAGCTCCTCCTCAACAATCGCAGGTAGAGTAGGAGACAAGAGGGCCGGGATTTCATACTTCTTTCTCGAGCTGCTGTCAATCTTCAAAGGCTTCGGTGGGGCTTTTTCTGCCGGCTTCTTGGATTTTGGCTTATCCGACTCGCCTGCGAGTAAGGAAGGGTGTAGAGGCGACAGTAAGGCAGGCACAGGTGCTTTTGACGCTGTGTCTCGCTTCCTCCGTGGAGATACTGGGGTACTCTCCTTGTATGGCTTCGACCCGTTCACTAGTATCGTGGACTTGGGTGAAGCGCTGACATCACGCTCCCTGTCTGCGGCAGTGCGGGCCTGTCCGTTGGTCGTCAGATGTAGAGATTCCTTTTTGACATCCTTGTCGCTTCTGTCGCTCAGGCGATTTCGTGGTGCCTCTGGCTTCGGGGGAAGACGTGACGTATCGTAATTAGTATCCGTCCTGGGACGCTTGGGTTGGTCGCGTTCTGAATCCGTAGCCCGCTTCCGACTATCGAGCTCGACCTGAGACTGCGCGTGGGAGCCTCGCATACTGTCTCCATTGACTGTGATACGGGGTTTTTCTGACTCCCCTCCCTCCGTCCTGACAGGCTTCGTCTTTGCCTTGGCATCGTCGGGCTTGACGTTCTCCTTTACCGGTGCATTTCGTTCCACTGTCCCATTCACTTTTGTGTCACCCTTGGACTCAGACTTGGCATCCAGCCTTGGTGTAGCCGAAGGGTCCTGGGGTGACTGATTCCTCCGCTGATAGTCCTTCAATGAAAGTTTCTTCTTGGCCTCCCCGTTCAGGAGAGTCGGTTTTGGAGGCATAGCGCTGGGGGCGCTCGCGGGCTCCTCGCAAATGTCATACGAAGGCCGCGTGATGAGGATGCCGCGATCGCAGTCTGAGAGAAAGGTGGTGTACTGCAGTCTGTGACTCTTTCCCGTGTACCAAAACCCAGCAGGCTCGGGGTACTTGTCCGTCAGGGACAGTGTAAGGTGGTGCGGACGTTGTGGTAATATACGCTTAGCCAATTTGTCTGCATTCTTTTCCGCTCCTTCCATCGTTCTTTTCATCGTTGGGTCATTGGACTCCGTAACGGCGCAAGTCGGGGTATGCCGTATTACTCGTCTCTTTGTTGTAGGGGTCGAAGATTAGGCGCGGCGAACGAGGGCTGCAGAAATGTTGCGGCTTGAATTTCGTAGCTGACGTTCGTTGACGTTGTGAAGGAGTTGTAGACTGGGTCGAAGTAGAATAAAGCGTAGATAGGTCAGGTCCGGTTTTCAAGCTGGGTTCAGAAAGCACTCAGGATTGCTATTGTGCGGTATGCGTGGGGTTGTATGAATAGCTATTCAATGCAAAACATGCGACGAAGATGGGATGGAAGACGGGTCGACCTTCACAATAGACGGCTTTTCAATAGGGTCTGGCAATTGGCACAATCAGCATGCGTCACCCTCATGCCCAAGAAAAGCAAAAGGAAAACGTAGTCGTCGGGGTACTTGTCTACATGGAGAAATGGCCAACGCGACAAGCGGGATGGCAGCTTTGCGACGTCCCCTTGGGGTCTTGATCCCAACTTTGGGTTTGCGGGGCAATTGAAACACCAAACACGGAGCAGACGCAACACTACGACCACACTTGGTCACCAGGAGGAAAATGGCATACCTAACCAGTACTCTTGTGTTTGCGATTCTCTCTGCTGTGAGAGACGCGTGCGCGTGGCAGCAACGGCCAAGATGTATCAAGCGGCGGTTCGGTCGCTATCGCGGTGTTGTCGTATGTGGATCGCCAACACCAGCCTGTTTCCTCCTCATTTGTCCGCCCGTCGAAGGGGACGTGATTGTAGTTCCTAGCTTCTCTATCCTAGCCTTCTATCGACAACCTTGGTTTGGCACAACAGACAAGGGCGCATGTCTCAGTCGGGCAACCGAAAACGATGGCAGCGCATGCAACGACGGCAATCGATCGGTGAGCGTGCCCGAGCAGGTTCGAAGGGGGCGGCCCGAAGGTGCAGATGGAATCGTTGTCGTTTGGTAGTAACGCGTTCGAGATGGCGGATGGTTATGGGACTGGGCGCAGAGCAATGGTGTATCCGACAGCAACGATGTACGAAGACGGGAGGTACTGAAGACGGTTTAGCTGGCAGCCAAGCTATGTAGGTATCGCGAAAGAGGGCCGGAGTTCGGATGGTGTTGCGCAGGGAAGCCGAGGTGGAATTGCTGAGGGCGCGAGCAATGGAATGGAACCTGAATGGAAGTGGAGAGTGGAAACGGGGACAAAGTAGAAGGGCAGCAGGGTCAAGGCGTGACGGGTGAAGAAGGGTGTGTGTGGTGGGTGGGTGGTGGTGGTGGTAAGGCATCCGATGCTAAGGTAGCCGTGGCCACTAGCAGTACTGTACCCGTGCCTTTGACGGTGTTGGTGGTGTGGGCTGCCCGTCACTTGAGGTGCCGTCGTAGGTATGTACCTCTAGTGTAGGTACTTACTAACCTTTACTTTACCAGGATGATGGATGAATGGTGTTCAGTGGACGAGTTGCAGGTGTAGAAATGTCAGCCGTCGTAAAAGTCGAGTCGGATCTCGTCGTCTGGAGCTTCCCCCTTGTTGGGTGCGGGTTGTTAGAGATTGGCAGGAATGCCCTGGGACTGCGGTGGAAAAGCGTGGGTGATTAGCGGTCGGGTCGTATCCGGGCGGAGAGGTTCTTGCGGAGATGGAGCGGTAGCGGTTGAGCGGCCACTGTGCGGCATCGCGCTTGATGAGTGGACCACACTGCGCCCTACCTAACAGCTACAAGCGGTGGCTTTGTGTTCCAACATGGAAGTCAACTCACCGGCTTGTGTTTCGTGACTGAGACACAGGCCACAGGGCCCAACAACTGTATACCTTTGTGATTGCCAGTCCCTGAAAAATAGAATAGAGAGGTTGGAGAGTAGCTTGGACGATGAAACGGGAAGAAGTATTTGGACAGAAATTAAGTACGTGATCATGTGAAGCTTTTGTATGATTACCTAGGTACTACATATAGCTGCATGTACATACACTCAGTAGGTCCGTCGAAAAAAATAAAAAAAAATAGGTAGATGTAGCCGGAGGTTAGAGCTTCCGCTCCTGCTTTACCATTTTGCTTGCCCCGCTTCCAAGCATTGCTGGACAGAACAGGATGAGCTTGCGTGCAGGTGCAGAGACGATATTCCCGTCATTCATCATGGGACTCTGCAGCAGGTTAAAACCCTCATAATACCTTGATGAGCTCGAGTCTCGAGTGATATTTTTATTCTCATCATATGAGCTGATTCCTCCATTGATATCATATTCTGATCGCAAATAGAAGCTTGGTTTAGAACACTACTTAACATACCAGCTTCCCCTGTAGGCTGCTGCATGGACAGCTTAGGTCCATGGTTCTTGGGCACGTTTCAACGCACGCCCTGTGGTAGGTAATACATACATGATGCATACGAGCATGAGCTCGCCCATGTCTACTGTGTGAGCACAACCTGTCTATTGCTTTGCCTATTCCTCTGTCTCTTTTTAACTTCTTTCACTTGCTTTCATGCAACATTTCCAAGAAACGCAAAGGCTCAGGTTGATGACCTCTATAGGTACCCAGACACTACACAGGTAGGTAGCGCCGTGCCGCACAGGGCTACAACGAAACATGGAACAAGCTCCACCAAGCCCTGTGACTGCAGGCTCAGCCCGGCGCGGCACTTGGGGGGGAGGAAGTGTGTGAGATACGGGAGATCTTCATCCCCCAGCACGAGAAGATCCGCGACAAGGGGGTCAACTGTCACCGTTCGTTACGCCAAGACTTTGGAACCATAGGTAAGCTTTTGGTCGTCATGTCTCTATCTTTAGTTTGCTGGCGCTCATGACACAACCCATTTGATACAGATGATTCTTTTGATAAATGCTCGACCAAATTGTCATAGCACAAAGATGTACTGTAATCCTTCATGTTTTTTCCAGCAGTAACGTATCAATGTTCCTCACCTCCTTGCAACATCTCAACATGTTTCTTTCTCCGCATCAATGCCCAACATCTACCACCTCCTATCACCACCAGTGTTGGTCAATCTCTATAATCCTTGCTTACGTAATTTGCATTCCAGTGTTTCTCAACACTTCCTCTTAGTATCCTCGCCAGCTTACAAAGTTGCATATACTTGGGCTATCATTACACTTTGCGTGTGTCGTCATGCTTTTCCCGTCTTTCCCTCCCTATCCCAGTTGTTAAGGTGAAATCCACTCCGGCTTGAGGCAGCTTTATCAAGTCTGCCAATTTGCCAAAAGTAATCTTCCACCTCGCTTCAAGGGGGTATATTAACGCCTTATAACGCCGGGAGTCTTGACTTATACGAGTCTACTTTAGACTCTAGTTATACTTGGCTTTTTAATGTTTGTACAAGCTTCCTACCAACGAGAATAACAACGCCAGTAGGGCTAGGATTGGGCATTGATTGCCTGCTATGAATCATTTCCGAGTTAGTTACTCGGTATTTGACCTGAATAAAATAATGTCGAGATTCGCATAATTGCAAACTTACTCCGGTATTAGAAGTGGGACGTTCAATATGTGTACCATCATGATCAGTTCGGCGCCTTTTCATTCCTGCCTGAGGTTCAAGCTCCACACTGAGCCCTGCAGTCTTGACCTCCAAGATGCCGACGCTAGCCTTGAGCATATCAACTTCCTTACCAAGGGACTCAACCCGTTGGCTCGAGTCTTCGAGGTCTAACTTCCACTTTTCCGTCTCCGGAAGCAGCTGCTGGATCAAGATGTCGGCTACATGCTTGGAAGTGATGTTGTTGAAGCGCTGGTTGAGATTGTTGATTGCAAAGTCCAGCGCTGAAGTCTTCTGCTGCAATTCCTCAAGCTTTGCTTGCTGCTCTGCTTTGGCTTGCTTGAACTCGGCACGGAGAGCTTCATCATTTGCCATGTTGACTCCAGACTGAGGAGTTGTCGTTCCAGAAGTCGGCCTCAGCTTAAGGTTGTTTACTTCATTTGTGAGCTTGTTAATTCGGGTACGCTCAGCATCAACGAGTTGCCCAAAGGTAACCGCGAACTTGTTCTGGAAATCCTCCAGTTTCCTGTTAGAGTCCCTCTGGGCTGCCGAAACCTGAGTCACTTTCGTCTCCAGATCCGTAACCTGTTTGACAAGTCCAGAAACATTCGTCTCTTTCGTCCCCAGGTCTGTAACTTGTTTGGTAAGCCCCAAGATATCCAGAGGGGCCTTGGTCTCCAGATCTGTAACGCGGTCCTTGAGCGCCGGGAATTGGAATGACACAATCTCGGCTGCTTCATCCAGCGCCACGAAATCGACGTTCTCTAGCTTCTCCTCCTGTTTTGCCATCTTTTGCTCAAACTCGGCAACTTGAGCTCGGACCTGGTTGAGTTCTTGTTCTCTGGTTCCCAAATGGCAGCGCAGGTCGGCGAGCTCCTGTCGTAGAGACGCTACCTCGCTAGCAGAGCTTTGCTTGGAATCATCTTGTGCCGTGGCGCGTTGTTGCTCGAGCTGCTGCTCGAGTTGCTTCTCGTACTTCTTTTGTTGCTTGGCTAGCTGTGTCTTGAGTTCTTGCTCTTGGGTTTCCTTAAAGTTTCTCAAGTCTGACTGCATCTTGTTGATCTGTTCTTCCAGTTTGGTGCTCTGTTTCGGGAGGTCTTTACTCTGCTTTGCAAGTTTCTGTTCAAAATCTTGCCGCTGCTTAGCCAGTTCTGTTTGGAGTTGCTTTGAAAAGTCTTCTTGCTGCTTCGCGAGTTTGTTTTGATACTCTCGTTGCTGTTTGCCAAGTTTGTCCTCGAGGTCCTTAAATCGAGATTCCATGTTTTGTTGGTCCAGAAGTCGTTTAGATTGGAGACCGTCGTAACAACCTTGCAGCTCATTAATCCCGGTTTGTGTGACGGACTTATGACTTGATAAAGCTTGCTCCAGTTCAGCAATCTTGTCGTCGTACTCCTTCGAGCTAGCAGAAGCTGGAGGCAATAATGCAGCTGGCAACTGACCGGACTTCATCAGCTGCAATAAGCAGGAGAGAAAACCCTCTCTTGCCCTTTTGATACCATCTTCGGCAACACGCACCATATTGGAATACTCTGCACGTCGCTTGGTGTCGCGATCCAGATACTTCTTTTGAAGTTCCGGTACTGAAGGGAAGTCTGCCAGCTTAGCCGTGCATTTGTTGTACTCGGCTTGCCGCTTTTCGAGGGCCTTTTCAGCCTGAGTGAGGTTATATTTGTGCGTAGTATAACTGATAAGAGAGTCGCACAGTGCCCTGAGACATTTTCCCATCTCTGCGTCCGATGTACTCCTGGAATTGCTCGTAGGAGATGAGGCAGCGACCGCTGCAATAGAAATTAGCACTCGTTTGATGTTTTGATTTGATCCGGAATAGCTATTGATAGCTTACGCGTGTTCAGTCCGTGGTCAGGTCGAGCACGGTCATCGGCCGATGCAGTTTGTGTGTTGACTGTCAGGCCTCTTGCAGGTGCATCAGACAAGCCACGGTCCCGGTCCCGATCCCGATCTCGATCCCTATCCCTATCCCGGTCCCGGTCCCGGTGATGACTATCACTCCAACTGTTTGGTGGCCTGTTGGGTAGAGAACTTGCATGACTGGAACTGGGCCTATCGGAATACCGTTCATTTCCGTAAACATTACGAGGCTGGCTATCGCGACGCTGATGGGGGTCTGCCGATGGTCGGCGGTCGCTTAGAGTGGAAGGCCGCCTCGCGTACGAGTCCGGCGGCCTGGAAGACATGGTGACACCAGGCGGACGGATGTGGGTGTGCAGTGAGACGAGACGCTGCAATCAAGCGTGCGCCTAACAGACAATATGTGGCGAGGTATAAGACGAGGGTGTAATTGTGACAATGGTGGGGCTGACCCGTGCCAGCGGTACAGACCGACGTCAGTCAATGTCGGAATTGAGCCTGAGATGTGTGTCGATGTTCAATATTGTTGGTTGAAGATTGTAATGCGATACCAATGCGGGTAGACGCGTAGATAGAGTCAAACTTTTAAGAGGCCCCGCACCTCCTCCAGACGGGAATGAGATCAGACTAGGGCTTGCCGCGCAAAGATACAACAAGTTGATGTATTTTTCCTTGTCTAAATGGACAGTCGAACTAATAGTGCTGAGTGCATTCCGGAACGCCAGGTTTACAATCGTCGAAGATGCCCAAAGGAGAAGAGAGAAAAAAAGAAAAAAAAGAGGAAAGTGTCTGCCATTTGGGTGGGGAAATTGGTTTAAATAAATATCTCTGAGGGACCACCATGAGCCCAAGGTAGCAGAGTTGCAGATTTGCAGCTCTTCCACTCCCAGGTCACAAAACTTCTCCTGTACACTCAAGGAAGGCGCTACGGACCCTTGTTGTTCTGTCCCTTCAAGGGCTACCTATGACTGGCCGAACGTCACATTTGTTTTATTGATATCTTCAAGTTGTATTACTATTTCTTTCAGCTCTTTCATTCTCCAATCAAACATCCACTGCATTGGTACCTATGTCTCTCTACAGCCTGGGTCGAGGAGGATGACATCATGCCTCACATATAGTCTCCTGACCCAAGAACCTTCTGCGGACTGCTTCATGTCCCAGTGAGTAGCGTACCTACTTACTTGCATGTTTACTTTGCAAGTTTGCATTTCTTCCACTTTGCATCCGAGTCACGGGCCCGTGCCAACATTGGTGCCATCTCAAAGGACTTCCATCTGTGTATATGTAGTGATGACCGGAGCATCCTCAACACTCACGAATGCACAATTTCAGCGGAGAATCTACAGTTACAGGTCGTCCGACTTGCTTCTCTGTCCAAATTAACTGCTAAACAAAGAGGCTTTGTGTTGTGATGATCAGCTCAATCGGATCCCGATGTGGGTCTAAAATCCGGGGCTTCTCGTGGGACCCCAAGGGCCGCGCCCGGGAAGGTTCAGTCCCACCTGCCGGCACAAGTCCGAGGACTGTCTTCCTTCTCTGTTACCCGTTTGTATCCTCAGCCACAGTGGCGTGTAAGTCGGCGTACGAAAGAGTCGTATTGTTACGTAAACTCGGTAACAAACCACTCGCTGGAAGGCCCCGGCCTGTCTATGCACGCAATTGGAGAACTCGCTGCAAAGTTCCATCACAGCGCGCGGCGACGCGCACTGCAGCTTTGAACTTCGTCGTACTTCTCGCTCTTAGTTTTCAAGCACATTCCATCATTCACTGCCAAACCATCCCTGCATCCACCTGCGACGGAACTAATCCATCACCACCCACCCACTGTGATACCCAAACCCAAGCGACCTTTCTTGGGAAACTTTGTAACGTCAATCGGCATATTCAATATTTAATATCTTGCAAATCAGTGGGCAATATGGCTGCTGTAAGCTCCCCACCTACCCCCCAACATCACAGTACCTTGACGGAAGACCAGCTAACCTCTTGTGCCCATGCCATAGCAGGTCGTTACCGTCGGAGAGAGTAAGGACCTCCGGGGTCTCAACCTCATCGCAGCGCACTCGCACATCCGCGGGTTGGGCGTCGATGCCGATACACTCGAGCCCAGAGTTGCCTCCCAAGGCCTTGTCGGCCAGGAGAAGGCGCGTAAGGCGGCTGCTGTCGTTCTCGAGATGATTAAGCAAGGGAAAATTGCCGGCCGTGCTGTGCTTATCGCCGGCCCCCCCAGGTTAGCTCGTCTTGCTGTGTTGTGCCAGTCCTCATGCACATACCGTCGTGTACTGACCTAGCTATGGAAAAAAAACAGTACGGGAAAGACTGCTCTTGCCATGGGCATGGCCCAGTCCCTCGGCACCGACGTCCCTTTCACCACCCTTGCCGCTTCCGAAATTTACTCTCTAGAGATGTCCAAGACCGAGGCCCTCACCCAAGCATTCCGCAAGTCGATTGGTGTCAGGATCAAGGAGGAAAGTGAGATCATGGAGGGTGAGGTGGTGGAGATTCAGATCGACCGGAGCGTTACCGGCCACGCCAAGCAGGGCAAGCTTACGATCAAGACGACCGACATGGAAGCTATTTACGACATGGGCAGCAAGATGATCGATGCTATGACCAAGGAGCGCGTCATGGCCGGCGACATTATCTCGATAGACAAGTCATCTGGAAAGATTACCAAGCTGGGCCGATCGTACGCAAGGTCGCGCGACTACGACGCCATGGGTGTCGACACCAAGTTCCTGCAGTGTCCCGATGGCGAGCTACAGAAGCGCAAGGAGGTCGTCCACACAGTAACGCTGCACGAGATCGACGTCATCAACTCGAGGACCCAAGGCTTCCTCGCCCTCTTCTCGGGCGACACGGGCGAGATCCGCAGCGAGATCCGCGATCAGATCAACACCAAGGTGGCCGAGTGGAAGGAAGAAGGCAAGGCCGAGATTGTGCCCGGTGTCCTGTTCATCGACGAGGTGCACATGCTCGACATCGAGTGCTTCTCGTACATCAACCGCGCACTCGAGTCCGACCTGGCCCCCATTGTCATCATGGCCAGCAACCGGGGCCACTCCAAGATCCGCGGCACCGACTACAAGAGCCCTCACGGCCTGCCGCTCGACTTCCTCGACCGCATTTCCATCATCAACACCCACTCGTACACGCCCGACGAGCTCAGACAGATTCTCACGATTCGCGCTCAGGAGGAAGAAGTCGACCTTACCCCCGACGCGCTCGCCCTGCTCACCAAGATCGGCGCCGAGGCTGGCCTCCGGTATGCGAGCAACCTCATCACGACGTCGCAGCTAATCTGCGCCAAGAGGAAGGCCAAGCAGGTCGGCGTTGAGGACGTCCAGCGCAGCTTCAAGCTGTTCTACGATCCTGCCAGGAGCGTCAAGTTCGTGCAGGAGTCGGAGAAGAGGCTCATCGGCAGTGATGGCGTGGTCGATTTCCGTGTCAATGGCGGTGCTACGGGAGAGCCAGCGGCTACTGCGGCTGGCGGTGATAGCATGGATACCAGCAGCTAAACAGTCATGGGACAATGCGCAACAAGGATTAATGAATGATCTTGGGGTTATGATTTCGTTTCGTCTAGGCGTTTAATTGGGATGGCTCATCAAAAAGGCGTCTTTGTTATGATAACACTGTTTTCTTAAGCTTTATGTGTGCCCAGTCATGGTTTTTTGTCATGGTACTGATCATGGCGATGGCATGGAGTCTGCAAATATCCGTTTGTATCACACAACGAATCGAATCGAAGTCGAAGCATGGGGTAGCAGGAGAGGGCATAGTAGGGACGAATGACAACCAGCTGCTGAGGAGTTTCAAGCATGGTGATAAAGGCTTTTGATTCTCTCGTCATTCCGAACCGGGGGTATACTATCACACACAATCGTACAAAACCTAACCATAAACATCTGCCGTGTGATGATCATACGAAGGCCGCAACCCTAGACCACTCCCCCTCCCCTCCGCCCACCGGCCTGAACTCAACCGCCTCCTTGAAGTATCCCGCATCCTGCCATGCCTTCATGGTGGGCCCGTCATACGGCCCTTGGCTTCCTCCTCCGTCTCTCCCATCTGTCCACCTAAACTCCCACATTTTGGGGTGTCCGTTTAGTGACGATGACTGCTCTTCCTCCTTCTCCTCCTTTTCAGGAGCAGTAGGCTCCACCCAAGTCTCGCCCGTCTCTGCTCTATACTCTCTCACCAACCACTCCCTCTCCTTATCGTAAATATCCGGATAATCCCTTCCCAACAACTTATCCGCCGCCTCAGTAATGGCATCAATCGCCTCCCTGATCTTCTTCTGCTTCGGATCCTCCTCCTCCTTCTTGTCATCCACATCCATCGAATCGATGCCCTGTTTCCTTTCCTGCCTCTTTTGCTTCCACTTGGGCACCTTCTTCGGCCCCTTGGTTTTGTCTTTTCCAAGTCTTGCCAGCGCCTCCAGCGCCGTCTCCCCCTTTTCTAGCGTCAGGATCAAGTTTCTGAGCAAGTCCCCAGTGGCGATCTTGTCATCTTCCCTCTCCTGCGCGCGCCTTTCCGCCTCACGCTTCTCGTGCGCCAACGCCGCCTTTTTGATTTCCTTTTTGGACAAGCCTTCCAGCCACTTATCGTGCACGGCATTTTGGTCGGCCGCTTTGCGGATGTAGTTGCCCGCCTCGTCAAAGGCACCCTCTTCATTCTCGGCTTGCATATTGAAGGCGTCAATCTTGGGCGCGTGTTTCTTCAGTCCGCCTAGGCCGACCTCTTCGTCTACTCCCTCTTCGGCGATGGCGGCTGCTATGACTTCTTCGTCGTCATCTTCGTCGTCCGATTCGGCTGAGGCGGCGGGGTTGATGTTGATGGTTCCGCCAGCTTTGGAAGAGAGGTCTTGCCCTTCGATTTCCGAGTCGGCAAGGAAGTGGACGGATTTTTTGTCCTTCGCAGAGCCACCACCGGCTGTCGTCGGTTGAGCACCGTCGTCGTCTTCCAAGTCGCCAAACATGTCTACCTCGTCGTCTTCATCGGCATCTTTCCCTGCCCCGTTGGAAGGCTTGTTGTAATTATCCATCATCTCGGCCAGATCCACGTCCTCGGCGTCTTTGCCCTTCTTGCGGCTCTTCCCTCGGGCTTCCGCGCGGTCTTCCAGGTTGTCATTGTCCGAATCGGAATCGTACCCATCGATGTTGACCGCGCCGCGCTTGGTGGCTCGAGAAAGCCCACCGATCACGTCGGCGGCAAGAACCTCCTCGTCAGCTTCGTCGAGGTCGTCATCGTGCGCTGAGGGCGCGAGCGCGGAGGGGTTGCGCACGTCGAACTTGACTTTTTTGTGGGAGGGCCCGCTGGAGGTGTCGTCGTCGTTGGAGCGCGATTCGCCGTGGTGTGCGCGGGCGTAGGCTTCGCTGGCGCGTTTGGGGCGCGCGGCGGAGAAGCGGGAGGACATGGTTGTGGTGGTTGTCTTCAATCTCGTGTGTTGGTGTGTAGGCGTTGACGTCAGCGTGTAAAGGTTATGTTGTCTTGATAGAATGGCCTATCCTGTCTCTGTGTCGCAGACTTTATGTAGATATGGCCTGAGATGATGACTATTTTGCCTGGGTCGACGGCGAATGACAACCCTACAAGTAGAGGATGGTGTTTAGAGAGGATCTGGATGGCGAATTGGGAATCTAGGTAAAGAAACTCCATCACTACCTTAGCCATTGTCAGCCCCAAGCCCCCAACGGATAACATGGAGCTCTCCACTGCCATCAAGGTCCAGAGCGTTCTGCAGTGGACAGGCAGCGCTCAAGGTACCTCTGACCTAAGCGTTTAGGAAGGGGGGAGCTCGCGCCACAGTACGGTTTCACAGATCTGACGCCACGGCGGCACCTTCTCACCCCGCCAATCCCGTTGAGGCGGCAGATACCTCTAGGTACTGTACGATAGAGGTACCCTTGCTAGGCCGCCAGGGTCCCAATCATTACCTAACGTGCCTGTAACTTTCGGGCCCAGTTATGTCATCTGCGTTGTTGCCTTTGGAACCTTCCACGCGGTCAGGTTATTTCAACATCGTCACAACCTCCCTTTCACTATCGCTTGTCACACTCTGCTGTTCCGGGTACCACTACTTATTCTGCGAAGCTTACCTCGAGATCTCCCCTCTTAATACGAATACCCTGCCGTTTCCCTTTTTGCAAAATATTACTTTTCTCCATCTCTAGCAGCTCCCTCGCGATCATGGTAAGCTATCCTTGTCCTCACACTCGATTATCAAGACAGCTTTTCGACCCCTCTATCTTTTTGAAACATTCTAACATGTGGCCATGGCAGTACGGAGACATCTACAGCCGCGCCGCCGGTCGCTCTCGGGGCGCGCAACGCTTCGATGAGTACTACCGCTGCTACCCCCTTGTCATGGCGCCCGGTGCCGAACGACCTGAACTCAACTACGGCTCCAAGATTCTGCTCCCGCCTTCCGCTCTCGACAAGGTTTCGCGACTACACGTCCAATGGCCCATCATGCTAGAGCTTATCAACGGCTCGCAGGGCACCCACACACACGCCGGTGTTCTGGAGTTCGTGGCTGAGGAGGGCAGGGCCTACATCCCGCAGTGGATGATGCAGACACTCAAGCTCGACGTGGGCGACATGATCCAGATCAAGACGACATCTCTCGAGCTTGCCAGGCTTGTAAAGCTCCAACCGCAATCGGTCAACTTCCTCGACATCAGCGACCCTCGTGCCGTCCTCGAGAAGGCCTTCCGGAACTTTGCGGCGCTGACCAAGGGCGACGTTTTCAACTTTGAGTACAACGATGAGATCTACGAAATGGCGGTACTGGACGTCAAGCCGGAGACGGCCAAGATGGGTGTCTGCATGATCGAGACAGATGTCAGCGTCGATTTTGCGCCGCCAGTTGGCTACGTCGAGCCTTCGCGACAGACACAAGGCAGTGGTACCAGCACACCACGCAACGGAAGGGCTGTTGGCGGAGGACTTCCGGCGGGCGGTCTTTTGCACAACCAGGGAACCATGGCTCAGGCCATCAACTACGATGCCATCGCACCAGGAGCCACCACCACGTCGGTGGGCAACTTCCAAGGCGAGGGTCTGCGGCTGGCGGCGAAGAAGGGTAGTAAGACGGGAACACCGAAGCCGGCGACGCCGGTGGCGGGTACTTCGACCAACGTTAAGGACGTGGTGCTGCCCAGGAGGAAAAACAACAACGGCCCGTTGCCGTTGCGTCTGCCGCCCAACAAGCTCTTTTTGGGATACGAGATCAAGCCTGTCAAGACTGCCGCAGATAAGGAGAGGGAGGCGGCCGCGGCGAAGCAGCCGCACTTTGCGGGCCAGGGACAGACGCTCCGGGGAGGAGTCCCGAAGAAGAAGAGCAGCGATGGTGACGATAAGGCGGTGCAAGCTGAGAAGCAGCCGACAGAGAGCAAGGGAAGGCGACTTGACGGCAGGAATGTCTAGGGACAAACTTTCGTTCAACAAGCTTGTTACTAGATGGTTTGATGCATTCTCGGGCGTTTATGGGAAACAGGGTAATGGGAAAGGGAGGTTCACAGTCAAGGGATCACGGAACGTTTGTAGCGTCGTTACGAATACACATGGACAGGCCACGGTGCTTTTCAAGATAGAAAAGGGCTGCATATGGGATGTCGAGTGCTGAGCAGCTCGATGTTCACTCAGGCCCATGCAGCTGACTAGAATTAGTGAGGAAGGAAATGATACCTCGATGTCCTCCTATAGTTGGAACATGCAAAAGTGATATTCAACAAGGTCCGCTGGCTCAATGGCAGAGCGTCTGACTACGAATCAGGAGGTTCCAGGTTCGACCCCTGGGTGGATCGAGTTATCTTTTCTTTTGCCGGCATCGCATACGGAGGTGCTCCCAACTTTTTTATTTTCTTTTTGCTCCCTTAAAATGCCAAGAGTTGATATAGTTGTGAGATGGACGGAATGGACGTGTTCTTCTATTGCGGGGCACAAATGGTCCCTGATTTTTCATTGTTGACGGTGCATCGAGAACGGCTTGGCCCTTCTTGTCTTTGTCTCAAGCAGTCGCTTTGTAAGTGTCGTGCCAGGAAGGTCCGGAGTTCTGCCTGCATCCGCTTCGAGGTCTGTCCTTCCAGAATTTTGCATCCTTGAAGGTTAGCTACAAGTCAACGATACTTGGAACGAATATAGTCAATAACATCAACAGTATTACATTGAGTTCTGATGTTAGTTTAGTACCAATGATTTTTGGCTTTTCCCAGTTGCACTTCCAAGAACTCGGTCGGTCGCATCGTTTGAGATGAGTCCTTGATTAGCTAATGTGGGTCGTGCAGCAGGCTGGCTGGGTCCCGTGATTGGTTGAAAGGGACGAAATCGAACGGCATTGTCGGTTTAGCACTCCCGCACAGTGAGCAAGCAAACCAAAAGCGCCTCCCACTCCCTGACTGACAGGGTTGACCATTTCCTGTTCCGGACTGGTTCTGTGCTCACTGCGACCGGACCATTCATCATCAGTCGCAAACCGAAGCCATCTTCCGACTCGCAACCATCCGTCTTTCAACAACACCAAGGCAACAAAACAAACTGACTGCAACCTTGCTGGATGCACCTTGCCATATTCTTTCTTTGCACTCGTACATATCCACAAACAAACAAACAAACAATTGCAAACAAAATATTCGCACCACTCGATGCCGCTTGCTGAACAGCACAGCTAGCCATGTCCAAGGTGGAGGCCCGCCGGCGTGCTTCGGCGCGAAGCCGTACTAGATCTGCATTATCGGCGACGGAGGCGTTAGAAGTAGCGGCGGCAGTGGGTGGTGGCCGTAGTCTGCGGCCACGCCGAGCCGGGAGTCAGGGGGGTGGTGCTGTGGGAGCCGCTGTTGGTGTTGCAATCGGCCGCGGTGCGACATCAAATCTGGGCCCAGCAAGCCCACTAAGACGAAGCGCTCGCAGCGGGGATTCAGCAGCAGGGGCAGCCCGGAACAGTGGTGGTCCACGTCGTTCGTTCAACGGCCGTAGAGGTGATAACAACAACACCAGCAACGGCACCACTCCAAATCACAATATTCGCCCGCGTAGGTCGTCCATCAACTATCGTGAAGACTCTTCCGACGATAGCGACAGTGCCTCTACTACGTCTGATGAAAGCGACAGCGAAGAAGAAGAAGAAGAGCATGACGGAGAACGAGATGCACGGCAACCCGCGCGCAGGTCCGCCATATCATCAACATGGGGGCGTCCATCTCGGACCGAGCTCAACAATAACACACGAGCAGTCACCTCCGGTCGCCAAGCGCTAGGAAAACGGCGCCGTCCCCGGTCCGGCTTCTTCCATGAAGACACCGACGGAGAAGATGATGACATCGTCAACACCGACCAGGAAAGTCCCCCCACTCCTCGCAGGGGCAGAGCAACGGCCACATCCGTAGCCAGAGCCAGGGAATCGTCAGTTCCACGTACCCCAGAGCGAAAGAGAAGAAGAGGCACGCCGGCGACTGCCACTAAGAGACGCACGCCCGCTTCGTCCAGGAAATCTAAATTGGACCTTGTCCACTCTGGCGGTGCCGAAGAAGACACTGCCGAAAAGGAACCCAAAGTCATCCCCCCCTGGCAACATCTTCCCTATGAGCTCTGGCTCTTGATTTTCAAGTTTGCATCCGCTGAGCGTGATCGAGATGCTGTCAACATTCTCTTATATGCGAGCCGTCTTTGCAGGGAACTTGCGGAACCAGCCCTGACGGCCTTGTATTACTCCCCCCCCTTGCTTACGCGGAAAATGGCACATGGACTCGTGGCGCTCTTGTCCTCGGATCCCTCACAGATGAAGTACCGCTACAGGTGGAAAGTAAAAAAGTTGCGGATCGATGTTGAGGAGATTGCTTCCAAGACTTACAAAGGGCTACACCTCGACTGGGAAGCCCTCTTCGCCAATGTCCCACAGCTCATGTCTATCGACTTCTTCCATGCAAAGGACGATGCCCCATTCCGATCTCTTGAAGCGAGCCTGAGATGGAAATATCCCACCGCTTTGTGGAACTTCCTCAACGGCGGCGACCCTCCAGGAACCAAGCACAAGCCGCTCGAACTTGAGGCCTGGAGATGGAACGGAAGGTTAATGACCCCCGACATGACTTTGCAAAGTCCTGCCATCATTCACCAAACTCCGGCTTTTTCAAAGCTCAAGAAACTTTGCCTTCAGAACTTCCAGGTTCCTTCGATGCCCCTGCATAACTGGCCAGCGGTTGTCCAAGAAGATGAAGGGTTCGAAAACTTCTTGATCAGCGAGTTTGCCCATGCCATTAACGTTCTTCCCCAACTGGAGTATCTGTCTATTGAATCCTCCACCATTGCAAACGACTACTTGCTCCGTCTTCTTCCCAAAACCTTGAAGACGTTGGAGCTCGTCAACTGCTGGGAAATCACTGCCGATGATTTTTCGGAATACCTTCTGACCCGTGCCTACCATCTTGAACATCTCTATCTAAAGCATAACCAGTCCCTCAGTTTGAGTTTCCTCACTGTCCTGGGTACTGCCTGTCCACACTTGCAAACGCTGAGCGTAGATCTGAAAACATACAACCACCATGAATTCTACAACGACTCAGACCCTAGCTATGACGAGGTTCTCAGCGTCCAAGAAGTCCCCGAGTGGCCAGTGAGTCTGCGCACCCTCGAGCTTCAGAACATGCGCAAATGGTCCGCCGACGCAGCCGAGAACCTCTTCCAGTCCCTGATCAAAGCCGCTCCCGATCTTCCCGGCTTACGCATCATTGATATCAACGCCAAACTCAACATTCCCATCCGCCAGCGTTCCGAAATGCGCGATAGATGGGAAGCCCGTCTCAAGGGCGTCTTTCTCCGCAAATGGGAAGACCCCAAGCCACCCTTCACATTACGCCCCCCCAACAAGCAACAGATAATACCCACCTTCTCAACGAGCAAACTACCCCCTTCTGCTACCAAACGGTCCCGCACCGATAACTGGGTAGCCCAATCCATCGAAGCCCAACAAGGATCGTCGTCCTCACTCTCTACCCGCCGAAGCGCCCGCATCGCAGCTTTATCCTCTGGCTCCTCATCATCCAACGGCGGCACACCCTCGCCCTCGCGCGGCCACAGCGCCCAACGCGGCGAACGCGAAGTATCCGTGGCTTCCTCGCTATCATTATCAGCCGAGGCATTATCTCTTTCACCTAGGGAAGCCAACGTAGCGGGCGAGATTCTCTACAGACATGGCTGGTGCGAGAAGGTGGAGCTGCAGTTGGACAACCAGAAGTTGACGGAGCAGACGTTGACCATGGAGGATTTTGTGGACGGCAGCGGCGATGATGATGAGGAGGATTCCGAGTGGGATGGGATGGACAGGGATGACGATTATGGTGGTGGGGGGTATGCTTGGTGATACATATTGATTTTCGCAACTGACTTGGTTGGGTAAATGAAACTGCCCGGAACTGGGCCTCTTACACACACACGCGGGATTCATGACTTGGGGGTTTGGGTATCTTGCTTATTTGCTTTCCATATCATATCCTCTGGCGCTCGGTGCTTGGAGGTATTATTACTAATTTGCTTTTTTTTATTTCCTCTGAAGAAAGGTTGATCCGGCTTTCACTACTTAGGGCATACAATGGCGCTCGCTGTCTTGTTCGTTTAATTTAATCTTGTACGCCTTTTCGAGGCCCCCTTTTCACTTCCATTTTACTACTCGCGGGAAAGACCGTTCCTTCTTTTTTGTAGGCATCTAGATACTGCCATGTCCACTTTCCTTTTTTATTCGCTTTCAAGCGCGGACCAGACTAGCCTACATTATGGCAGCTGATTGCGAAGTACTACCTACAACATTGTAATTGCCGTGCACACACCATGCACACTAGTGGTGATCTGGCAACAGAATCTCTCTCTTTCACGCTCACAATGCCAACCTTAGCTCACTGCAGGCTCTCTTGAATCTCGACAGCTGGTCTTGATTAGACTTTCAATTATACGTTCCGTACACCTCTACTTTCTTGACCTTTTGCTCTACACATCTTACTTCCTTGCCTTTGTTTTTTGCTTCCACTTTCGCTCCCCTGGCTCAAAGCCTCTTATTTGCTTTCTTGTATTGCATTTGTTGCATTTGTTGCATGGGGTTTATTTGACGGATATGATTAATACACAAAGACGAAGGGACGCATAAGGCGCTACTAGGATCGGTCTCAGTCTGTTAACACATCCCACGATATGATGGCAGCAGTAGTGACAAAGATCACAAAGGAGGCACGACGCCACCGACAGTAGGGCAACAAGAGGGATGGATACAAGTTACAAATCGATATCTTTCGTTGCTACTGAAGGTGTATGGACCGTGTATGTGGTGCAGACAGGAGTGGTATAGGTAATAAATAAATGGGACATGCTACAAACTAGAGCCATTTATGTACCCACGTAAGGACTATATATATACCTTCGTAGTAATGGGAAGGTGGATGGATGTTTCCTAGGTAAATTGACATGTACCTGTCAAGATCCAGTTACAGTCGGTGCCGGAAAAAAACGCCCAACTCAAAATTTCCCCGCAAAAAAAGCCAAAAGTTATCATCGCCACTCTTTGATTCCACCACCATACATTCTTCCAAACATTGATAGCAGTTTCTTTGAGACTCTTTTTTACTTTCTTTTACTAGATGTAAGCTAGCCAGATATTTTTGCCTCAAAATGGTGGTGAACGAGGGGTGTAAAACAAAGTGCAAAGTAGCAAATTTATTACAGGGGGCTTACAGGGGCTTATAGTAGGTAAAAATTGACAAATTTTTCGAGTGCTGACTTTGACACCTTCTTTCTCGAGCATTTATACAAGAAAAGCGATATAGAAAAGTTAGTATAAAAGGTAGTATAAAGTAATCGGTACCGTATAATTCCGGGATTACTATACTTCTATAGGTGTTGCTTTTTAGTAACTTGAATTGTACGAGTTTTGCGGTAAAATGACCAGTTGGGCGTTTTTTTCCGGCACCCACTGTATCATGATTTGTGTGCCGATGGTTGGTACGGTAAGTACATAAGTACTGTGTAGACAGCGAGAAATGAACTTGGAACGTGGCTATTATATCACACGTGTAAGATGATGACGGTGATTGGCTGTAGCGGGAAAAGCTTGAGTTGGAAGCTTATTTTGACGACCCCCATGTCCAACTTAAATGTAACGAAATAATTACGTACCTTGCTGACAGTATTTCCCTTTGTCATGAGGCGAGCTGTCTTCACCAAAGTCATCATTTTTTCGTCTTTTTTTTGATCAGGTCTCCGAGATCTACTGCTCCGGCAAATTCGTGCCCTGATGTACTGGGAGGCAATTTGCGGTTAAAGTTATATGCAGAGGTATGCTCCTGACCTGCGAGATCGATGCTCTGCAGCCTCTATTATGCAGACACTCTTCCCTATCATCTCCTACCAGATCGTTCCTGTTGTAAGTATCGTACCAAGCGCCTTTCCGGAAGGCCTTCTTGCCTACTTTTGCGAAGGGAAGTAGAGGCTCCTTGTTTTATTAACTTTCAGCTAGCTGGTACAAGGTGATTTGTGGATTGTTCAGGTAGAACAAGGCAGTATCATGTGTAAGGTATCATCATCTCCTGACACCAGTCATAATTAGAAGGAAAACATCCCACATTAGTACCACAGAAACACTTTCAAGTCCAACGACGCCACAAGAAAACCCAAGTCGTAAGAATCATGAAAGTCCAAATCATAGAATCTCTCCCTCTCTCGGTTTCCGAGCATGAACAACGCCATTTACATCCGAAATAGCAAAACCGAGCAAGCCCGTACCGTCAAGCACTCCATACTGCACCACTGGCTCCTTGGTCGTCGTGCCACTCACTCCGTCACTAGCCGCCTCTGCTCTTTGACAGATCGACTCAAGTACTTTCTCAGCCGAGGCATTACTGCTGCAGCTAGCAAGGAGTGAAGCCAGTTGATGTTGTCTTTGCTTCAATTCGGAAATAGAGTCGCCGCTACTGTTTGACCGAGGTGACGACGAGGGCAGCGGCGACCGGAGGAGGAACGAGTTGGCCAGCTCGAATGGGCTTAGGGAAAAGTCTCTCCCGAGGGTTGTCCAGCCTTTAAATAGAGAGAGGATCGAGATAGGACCGAGAAGGCTAACCACTACCGCTAGGGCAAGGGCTGGCTTGTTGACGGCGTACTCGGTACGGAGCTGATGGCTGGTGTAGTCAACCTTTTGCACAAAGGCTGGGTTGTCTTCTGTCACGTTACCTGCCGCCGCAGCAGCCTCGCGTCTCCCAATCGCCTCGCGGATGGACAGGCGCAAGGCCAGCTCTCGAAAACCGTTCAGAATATCATTCGTAGGATCGTCGAAACTTGGACCGCATGCGCTTTGGTTGTTAGAATTTTGTTCGTACAAGAAAGATGTTGCTCCTCTGTACTCAATCAAAGTCCGAATTTGGCCTTTCGGGTTATTTGGATCCTGTGCCGTGGATTTCCAAGTCATCCAGGTCCCCGTCGGCTCACCGAAGACGAAGTTATCCCAGGCCACGGCTAGGACCGTCTCGGCGCCCCAAAAATGATTAGCTATTTGCCCAAAATACCAAAGTTTCCAATCTTCACGGCTTTGGTTTTTCGACGACAGATCTCTAAGACTCGTCAGTGAAACGGCAGCCGCAGCCAGGTTCAACGCTCGAAGAGGTAGACAACTCAGGCCTCATTCTCATGGGAAGATACGTACAGCAGCTGAACAACACTGTCGTTCCGCCAGTCGCTTGTTCGAAAGGTAGCCTTTTGCCCGTGAAGGGACAACTCATACTCAACAGTTGAGGGATATAGATGATATGTCGTGGAGATTAGGTTAGCAACGCAATCATACGAGGCCTTCCGAAGGATATCAACCTCAATATATTTGTTGTCATTGCTGGCACTGGCTGTAACATTGAAAATACGGTCCACGGTGTAGGTGCCATATTTGTTGGGTGATGGGCGCTCCAAAAAGTTATGTAAGTTTGATTGGTTGGCTGTGTTCACGTATCTGAATCCAAACCCCTGGCGAGATACCACATATGTAAATTAGTCTTGACTCCCTCAAAGCCCGACCTCTGCGGATTATTCGGGTATCTGTACTTACCTTAACACTCAAGGAACAATTGTTGCAATCTGACCCGGGAATGTAGATAGGAGTCCTGGCCTGATACTCTCTCATTACGTCTGAGAACATTCGCTTGAACTTGGGAGTATCAAACGACTGTGACTCCCAAACCTCCGTAGTGGGTAGAACTTGAAGACCAATAGTACCCTGGAGCTCTGAATTAATGGTTTGTATGTAGGAGCCTTTTTGTATAAGAGGGCCCCGGAGGAAGGACGTTGTGGCCACGAGGATCGATACTTGATGACGCCTGAATCAGTTTACCACAGATCAAGCGCAGACTTGAGTATAGTGTAGAGGGAGAGAACATAAATGAAGTCAAACTCACCAATACTGACGCGGCGAGCCCTTTTTCGCATCAAGGATTTGAGGGATCCCCAAAGACTCGTGGCTGCCTCCCAGTTATAGTGAAGATTGGACACAGGCATGTTGCCTTTGAGTGCTTGTATCCAGAAAAAGGACACCCATCCCTGAACGTAGGCAAGCATCATCAAAGAATTTGCAGCAGTTGAAGTGAAAGCCAAGAGCTGACCAGGCTGCATGCGATTTGAACCATCCCATTCGCTAACCAGCTGGCCCTGGCTGTTGAAGATAACGTATATGGCCAAAAGAGTACCTGCCAGCTTCAATTAGCACATGTATACCCCAAATACCGAGGAGATTATGTACTCACAAGCCAGACTCAGGAGCAAAGGAGCGTAACCGAGATATAGGATACGTCTAGAGCGTCCTGGCTGCCAAGGACAATCATGATTGATGTTACCGAGCCCCCTCAGAGATGAGCCAGTTCTCTCCAAATCCGGGTAACGTCGAGAATCTGTAAGTCCCGGTTGATCATGGAGCGGTACATTCTCCTCCAGCATGTGGACACTAGAGGGCGAATGCTGTGGCGAATCATCGACATGGTGATTCCAGTCGTGACGATCGTGACCCCTGTAGGAAGTAGTTCCTCTAGATGAATCCATAGGGCAGGTTGATCGCGAGCTGACGTAGGTGCCGAATAACAGACTTGAAACAATTCGATAAAGAAAATAACAAGTGAAGAACCGGGGAGAAGTGTGCAGACCAGGCAGGCGACGAGACACCAAGAAACGGGATGTTTCACGCGCCCTTGGATAGAATATATCTACATCTCCAACTCACGTAGACATTGATCAACGTAAGCAGGTAGCTAGAGGTATACAACCCAGTTTTTTGCAGCCTACCTCAAAGTCAGCTTGTCTGTCGCATATGGCTTAGCTGTGTAACACACCTTTTGCTGTGTGTGTGGGCCAAATACACCATAAATAGGAGAGGCTCGGGCTCAAGGAGGTTCAGCTTTTCACTAGATGGGTCGCAAGAAAAACACACAGGTAATCAGCCCAACACTTCGCAACGGCCATAATCGGATAGGCTGTCCAACCGTACATTGTACTTGGTGGGCTTTTGGATGACACGACGTTGATGCACGTTCTGGCCGGGCCTAGGCTCATTAGTCTTCCACTCTCCCACACAGACACTATCAGTACCAACGCACCTCTGCGGATCTCCGTTTCGGGTGTCCAATTGCCTCCAAAACTCAATAGCTGAAAAAATTAGAGAAAAGAGGCGTTTCGAGACCATAAAAGTAGCATCGCCATCGGCTACAGAAACCCGAGCATTTATCTTCGCTGTTTCTCCGCGGAAGTGTTGTTTCTGCCTGGTCTTGGTGGCGCTTGAGCTCACGGAGCCATTGGTGTTTTGTCTATCCAGTCGCCAGATTGACGTTCCTGGACTTGGGGTATGTATCTGGTGCAAGCAATTCATGCTTCATTTGTGTCTCGGAAAGTTGAACGGGTAGCGAAAGAACGACCGGTCCGTCAACCTTATGTACTTATAGAAAAGCGCAGGATCTTTTTGAGTTAGTATCAAGGCCATGGAATGGTTAGCAAAATTCAACAAGATGGGATCCGATAATGTGTGTAGACATCTTGCTTTCGGGATTGGACAACTTTCGTTGTTTCCCCGACAGCCATTGAAATTCAACGGCACGACCGTCTGAGAACCGGTCCAATATCGTAGCAGAGCTTGGCCGCATGGACGAAAACCCGTAAGGCTCCCGAAACAAACATGCTCGCCATTTGGGAGCATGTATATTCCTAGACAACCGAATGGTGACCTTGGCTTACGGTTAGATATTAGTTGGGCAGCCAGTCGGCTTGAAGGCGTAGTTGCTGTTGTTGTCGGGGAATATATCGGAATTTCGTTGTGGTTCGAGGCCTTTTAGGTGACCTTTCGGCCGTTAATGTTTGGTAGGCTAGAATGCCAAAAGGCTAGAAGCCCCGGAAGACCCCATTTCCGTAGCCCGCCCAGGCAAGCCACAACGCCCCAGCTGCACGTTAGAGGGCATCTCATCCTGCCCATTTATCGCAGCAAACATTGCGCTGCTAAGGCCAGTCGGCCTTGCCGGAGTCAGCGTCGGCAGCTTTATGACCCCTAACCGTATAGTCGTGTCGACCATGGCCGCCATGGCAGTGCTGTTCACACTGATGACCTTGTTGGCGTTGACAGCTTTGTTGGCATTGGAGGCGCTGTTGGCGTTGACGGCGTTGACGGTCTTGATGATGACCGGCCCGGCTTAATTATGCGCTGCCAGCCGCTCAAGTGCTTCGATGGCCTCCTCTAGCTTGCGAAAACTGGGTATGAGTGGCAGATACTAATGTTGGGTGAGCGAACGCTGGGTGCTAACCATGCTGAGAGCGTGGGGAGGCTGAACCATATACTCAGTAGCCAGAATTTTAGAGTGAAGCCTCAAAGAAGCATAAGGTGTTGTTCGGCGGCCGGCGGGACAACGTTCGTGAAGGCGTGTAACAGCGGAGGTTGAAGCTGGACACACGTTGGTTAGCAGACGTCGGCTGTCCCGATTGTTCACAATAACTTACGGAGAGTCGGACATGGGGCTGCCACTGGTGAAATCCAGACAGGCCAGTTCAGATTGAAGGCACGGTTGCTGTTGAGCTTGGAAGCGCGGTTGTTGTCGGCTCCGGGGGGACCAAGTATGCTGTTGAGGCTGAAGACCTCCTGACTTGTCTCGAGGATGTTAGTGTTTGGTGGATCGAATGCACTGACATGAACTGGCCACTTGTTGTCGACAGGAGAGCGGTGTCACCATCGAGCAACCACTGACCAGTGGAACGGACAGGACTTGATGGCCAATTTCTTGTCCATGGGGGAAGGGGCCATATGATGGTGGAAGACAGGAGAAAGATCGAACAGGTTCCTGAAAGCTTCATCCCTTCCTGTGATAGATGACAACTTCAAATTTCCTTTCTTTCGGAAGGAGTGTCTGTCGAGATTCAGTTCAAGGAAATGCCGTGTTGCGGGGGATTGAGCAGTCTGTCGTGGATGACGAGTGGTGAGTCAAACCACCAACCTCCCTCTCCATTAGGGTCGAAATCTAGTGGCCCTAAACTTGCAATTCTCTTTCTCTGTGGACTGGACGTCGTTGACCAGAATTTGTCAACCTCTTTCTCCTTAACGGTCCCAACAAACAATTATGCCCCAGAATTCCTAGTCCTAGGATAACTTCTGGGGTGAGAGCTACGGCCGTCTTCTCTAGCAGACGGGCCCTTCCCAGGATGACACTTTCAAGCCGCCTCGCGTTGCTCCTTAAGGCAAATGGGATCAGCCCATCGTTCGTTATAGACAAAGAACTGTTTGATCGAACCAAACGGTTTTGCTTTGCTCCAGCAGGAAACTAAACGATGGTTTCGCGGTTAACAAGCCAGGCTTCTTGCCGTTTGGCCGCACAGTCAAACTTGAACGAATCGTGCCTGATCTGGCCTCGGCTCAAGTTCTGGAGCTGTTTTGCGATGCTTCAACTGGTTTGCTTTTTGATTAATCAACAGCGACTTTACTACAGTTGATCCCCATGACACCTGGGTAATTTCTTTAATTGCGATGATTTACCTTAGTCCTCTGACACTCTCCTGCCACAGGACGGTTGCGGGGATACAGTAGCGTTGAATGGGGGTGGGCATATCGTAGCCTGCAAGCTTCACGTTGCAGAGTATGGCTGGGTGTAGGTCAGCGGTCCTGAAAGAGTCGATGGGTTCGACACGAGTAGATCCCTCTCGGGCAAGCTGGAGCTCAGCATTGGCGGAGAAGTCGATGCTTGCAGATTTTCTTGGGGCAGACCTGGGCCACCCGAGTGTGGTCAGTTGAGAGAACCAAGTGCAATTCTTGCAAGTTCTCTCAGGGCAGTCAGTGGCCTTGTAAATTGGTCTTGGTTGGTGCAGCGGCGAGATGCCCAATGTCATGCGCATCTCGTGCCGCATCATATGAAGAAGCAGGCCTGCTTCAATCTCCTCAACTCTCTGTCTGATAGCCGCAAGACCTAGACTCTGAACATCCTTCGTAACAGCCACTAGCGATGTTGGCCCAGTCAGTTCTCTAGTTTCTTGACTCAGATCTCGTTCCATGGATCGTTGCGCCAACAGTGGACGTATCGCCAATGAGCTTGACGAGTACTTGTTCAACAAGATGATGCCTCGTGTCAAAACGCATGGTGAGAGAACCCAGAGAGAGCGTGACGTTGCGCTGTGCGTCTTCTGTGCCGAAAAGTGTCCCACCATGTTGAACATCGCCCCCTACCACTGCTCGCGGCACTGGTGTCCGGTGCGCAACGTTTTGCATGTCATCAACTTCGATCTGCCGTTCTTCGCCCTTTTTTTCACAGTGACAGTATAGGAGATACTTCAGGCTGCGGGAAACCTTGGACAGGTTCTGTCGATATCAGAGAAAAGGTCAGTGTATTGTCGAGAGGCCGTCATTTCATCCAGTGTTTGTAACACACCGAGAGTACTTCATCTCTTCTTCTCATACCCAGCGTCCCGCAATCATTCTCGGTGTCCCGCGGTGGACTCTCCAATAATGATTTGCCTCCCGCAGAATATGTCTTCGCTTTGGCTGAAGCCTGGAGAGTTGGTACGAAGTACCCTTGACCCTAGCCGCAACAGTAATCGGTTACGCAGCCAGCCATGGCATTGACTCTGATATTGGCCGACTTTCTCATTGTGTAATAGACGTAGTGAATGTCCTAGAACGTAGAGACAGCTCAATAATTGTCGGCATCGTTGGCGAAGCAACCGGTAGTCTTAACTAGGCGACTGGTGGAAATGATGGGGATCAGGTATGCCGCAGTGTTGCCAGAGTCTATCCATTTGTTAATCTCGGAAATTGTCCTTACACGAGCATTGCCTTTACAGGAGCGTAAGAAACTGGACTTTCCACTTTGCGCAATCGTGATGGCCTGTGGCCCCAATTGGCCGCAGAGACGCAGTAGCGCTGGATAGGGGTGGAGGCTCGTGGTCAGCAAGCTCTACAATGTGAAGCATGGCTGGGCGTAAGCCAGTAGTTTCGGATGGGCCAAAAGGCTCGACACGAGGCTTGGGACTATTCCATCGGCAATGAGGTGGCATCGGAGAGGGAGAAGGCAGCCAGCCGTTCTTGTCGAGACAATGACGTCGACTAAGAGTTGCGTGAGGAGTAGACTGAACCGAAGTAGCCCGAAAGGGCTCTTTGAAAGGTGGAGTGGAAGCTGAACGAGATGCAAATCGAATCAGGAAAGCTGGGAGTACGTGGTTGGAAGGAACCTGTCGATGGGCCTCTAGGGAACCCAATGGATTGGCCCGTCGGCGAGCTGTTGGACACGGTCGATAATTGGGTGGGGGGAATTGTCTGACCGGCTGAGATGCATGATAAAGTACTCCGAGAGCGGATGTTCTCATATTGTTGCCGAGCAACTGATCCAAGGCATGGTTCGTTTAAGCAGCGACCGCGAGGGGCGGCCGAGCGGGTTACGTGCTGGACGCTTCTGGCGACTCCAGTCGCAAGCATGACTCTGAATGCCTCCAGAGATTGGTAAAAGTTTTTCCTGTTCCTGGAGCGCCTTGGATAGTGGGAAGAACCTTGGAGACCGCTCGATGAAGGGCGGATAGCTGCGAGGTCTCGAGAAAGCTGATATCTTTCACATCTGGAATGGGGCCCACAAACTGCCTTGAACCTACGCAGGGCTTTGAGCTTCTCAAAGTCTGCAAGCGGTTGGTGCACAACAGAAGAGAGGCCAATAACAGGGTTTTGGTATATGAAAACCGGCTGGAAGGTCGACACACCAGAACCAGACATGCGTCTAGGCGGCAACGCAGTCTTGATGGGGGACCAAAGTTGCTGTTCGTGAGGTAAACGGGAACCGTTGTGCGAGCGTAGGCCAAAGAGGCAGCTAGTTTGGCAGTTGAAGCGGCAGATGTCAGCCGATATAGAAGGCTCGCCTTTTGATTTGGCCTCGTGATCGGCCTTGTTGTCGGGACCGGCAATGGGGTCACCCTGAGCGCAATTGGTGACCGCACTCGAGGTCTCTGTGCGCTACCTCGGGTGTTATCTTGTGATTTGGATGAGTTCGGCTTCTGAAGCTCACTTGTCTTCTCCTCCTCGTATTCATCTTGGTAATACCTGACCTCACCAAATGGGGCTGGTTGAGGGAGTGGTCGGCCGAGGGAGCGATGGGTTGAGGGAGTTGCTGGTGAGGGACTGATGGGTTGAGGGGGTTGCTGGTGAGGGAGTGGTTCGCTGCTTCTTGGCCAGATGACCGGTAGGAGAGTCGTCCAAGGCGTCGTAGTCGACAGACACAGCCGACTCGTTCTTATCCGTAGTCGTTTGCGGTTCTACGTAGTTTGCCATTTTGACTGTTGATCCTCTTGACTTGGCGGCAGTGGTGGTGGTCGCGCTCTTCTCCATTTGGCGGGGAGAGTTCCAGCGCCGCGGCTCCGGCGGCGTTGGCGACTTCTCCTCGGCCAGGAGAAGCACAGAAGCTTGGCTGCCCGCCTGCACCAACTTGGCCTCAGAATTGGTGGATTTGCGATTCAGGAGGTGGATGGTTCTGTGAAAGAGTCCCACGACCCAGCCCCAGCCCCAGTTCCCAACCCCAACCCCAGGTGGAGAGGTCAGATACACCTTCTCCACCACTTCGACGATGACGATGTTGCCGCCTCGCTCGCTCTGCCCACTCCCACTCTCGAGCTTGACTTCCGCATGAGCATCCGCGTCAAGCCCAAGATCAACATTAGCAACGGCACCACCCGAGCAAATATGAGGAGAAGAAGGCAAGTGAACTCGGCCAGTCGCCGTAGCAGGAGAGTGCCAAGGCCTTGGTGGCCATCTCATCAAGAGCACATGGAGCAATTCGTCAAAGGCTGCGACATCCTCATCGCTTCTCCTGGTCGTCTCATCGATTTCATGGACCGCCCTGGGCCAACCCATCGACCTCATGGATAACGGATCCGCCAGGGAGCAGATGGAGCAAATCGCGAAAGGTTGCGACATCCTCATCGCTTCTCCCGGTCGTCTAATCGACTTCGTAGGGCGTCCTCACCATGTGGCTAAGTGCCGTATCCGCTATATAGTGATTGACTATGCGGACGATTATTGAAATATGATTAATTGAACGCTTGAGATAGACCGACAAATTTTGACGTTGTATATTGGCTCAACATTGAACGAAAAAAATATACCGATAAAATTTGGCGTAGAGGGATTGGAATATAGTAAAATTCTATTACCTAAGATTGGGGAGAGATTTAAAAAGCTGTGTTTCGCCCAATTCCTTCGGATCCGGCTTTTCGCGGGCCGGGTTGACCATCCGGACGAGATGCAGCAAGGCGGGTTCACTTTACGTTGTGTCCAAGACAAAAGGGGTTTTGTCGAGATATCCCCGTCTCCGGAAATACCCCAACGGGGACCAGAAAGAGGGCAATATCAAGCACATACTCTTCTCAGCTACCCTCAATCCGATTCGGGCAGAGGAATGAATAGTTTTCTATGCTCGATGTCTCTGGAAAGGACTAACCTCCTTTGGCCCCCTTCTACTGCCGTGGCCTGACCTACCGACGACGTGACCGGAGCCATCATGACCTTGAGCCGGGCCCGCCTGCTGCTCCGGTGAAGGCTTTCTGGTAGCAGCTAGTAGAAGTAAAGCTGGTAGCCACTGCGCCGTCAAAGGACATGCCGCTGTTGTTGTAGGAGATGGGTTCTTGCTTGATGTTCGTGTCGAGACCCCGAGACTGAAGATGGGTCGAGGCTGAGCTTGATTCTAGGAGGTAGGGGGAGAAAACTCAGGCGCGAGCCTCAGGTTTGTTCGAAATAAGCAGTGGTGCATTGGCAAGATGCTGCTTCTGGCTGGTCGTCGTGTTCCTCGCGCGAACTCTTAGACCTCCTCTGAGACCGCAACAACCACCCGTGAAGCCACCAGGCCACTTCCCATGGAAAGAACCACACAGACACGCCGCCATGTGTACCAACTTCCATTTGTGGAGTCACTTTACGACAACCGTTTGCAGCCTCCCCACTGGCTCAGTGAACTGGCTTTTAGAACTAAGCTCGCCTTTTCCAGGTGGCAGAATAGGCACTGAACTGACATGTCGCAGCTAAGCCACTTGGGATTGGCCGGATTACTTAGAAAAACAGCACAGGTTGCCAGGTCTGAGGAGGAGCTGGTATGGAAGAACTCTCTGGCGCTGAGCGGACTGGTCGCAAACCTTGAGTCAGCCAGGCCATGGTTGGTAAGATTGCCAGAAGTGATTGGGGGCTGTACTTGAGTATTCGGTGCGCTGATGGCGCTTGGCTGCTGAGTAGGCGTATCAACAACAGGCTGGGTTGTAAGAGGTGTCTGGTTCTGTGTTATCGCTCGGTTCTCCAGTACGTGAGGTGTTGTCGGTGATGGTGGCTGTTTGGTAATTCGACGGTTCGGGGCTGTAGGTGGTCTACCGTTTGGTCGACAAGGTGTAGGGCGTGAAGTCACTCGTTCAATACTCCGACTAGAAGTTTTAGACATGCTAGTGCTGGGGCCAGGGCCATCGACATCATGAATACGTACCGGGAACTGGAAGTGAAGGAGTTTGGTCACCCTGCTCAAGGAGCAATATTGTCATTGCCCATAGTCCGGAGCTGCCAACCTGCTGAACCTTGTGCACTTGGCGTCGACGACAGCTAAATGCTCGCGGGGTTTGGTGTGGATTAATCGGCGCAACAGTTAGGCCGGACTGTGCCTGAGCCTAGTAATTAGGAAGATCATGGAGTGCTCGATTAAGAGTTGCGTGAGGAGTAGACTGAACCGAATTAGGGAAGACGGTATTCTTTGATTCAAAACAACCATTTGAGGGACTCTGGAGTAGCCGATAGAACGGAGATAATGTGGGTGACGTATTTTTTGAGTAAAATTCCCGTCCTTGATTCTCGAGACTCGGAAGCAGTCGCGATTTCGAGGCGCCGAACTGGAGAACTAGGAAGCCAAGTTTCTCTCCTTATCGAAGTGAAAGGCAGAGACCCCCATGTTGATCCCGAAGTCTAGATCATTGAAAGAGAAATGGCCACTGTTGAGAGCTAAGGGAGAAATCTGAGTGGTATGTGGGACATATTGCATGATGGTTGGCTCCAAATCCAGGTCCAACAAATCATTGCCAGAGGCCGTAGAGTTTACGCCCACAATTTCTCGTGGGAACTAAACCTGAACCCCCAAATTCACAACGCCAGGGAATGGCGAACCGTACCCACATGACCAGACAGGCCCTCTATAAGGAGAGCATTGGTCCAAAGACGTCTTGCTTCCTCTTTCTACACCGAGCGTGACGAGGATCTTGACTCTGTGCCCACCGGCAATCTCCTTGAGATGGTCTCCTGGCGACGGGCCAGACTACTCCGAACTCCCTCCAGCAGTACGTCTCAGAGGATACGAAGAATATCAAGGCTGAAGCCGATTCTGGCCTCCCCTGTTGTCAAGGCACCCATTGGATGGCTGAAACCCATCTAGAGAGCGACAGCCTCAGAATGTCCGGACAATGGACGAATATGCTGTGGGATAGGAGTGCCAGTGCCAGTGCCATATGGAGTGCTGGTGCTGGTGCCGTTGATGCGCGTATTGGAAGCGAAGCCCAGCCAGATTGGTGTGCTGGTGAGGGTCAAGAGAGGTGAATCGCCTTCTTCGCCATCCCCCTCGTAGATGCAAGCTTGGCTGTCCCAGTCGGTCTCGCGGTTGGCAAATTCGTCATAGCGGTATGGTGTTGCTTCGACCCAGCTCTCAAGTTTGGTCGGAATAACCCGCTCTATGGGTGCATATGTGCCGTTCTCATCGGTGTTGGGGGCTCTGATTGCCTCTAAACGCTGGTGGCACTGGGCTTCGGGGCGGCCGATCGCGCGCTGGTTCTGCATTTGGTTACCGGCTTTCAGGTTGGTGTTGTCAGAGGTACGATTTTCCTGACCGGATCGTGGCCGTGGCCGCCGGAAACATGGGAAATGCCGCCGCGGCCATCCGGGGTGGTGATCGGACCTGTGAACGAGCTGCTGATTGACCTGGTGGCGGAAGCAAAGCCCTTTTGACCTCAGCGGGCGAGGTTGATAGACCGCGCAGAACGCAGCGACAGTAAACGCCTTTGCATCTCAACGAGAGTGCGGTGTTAGTCGGGTGGTCTAGTTATTTGCTCGTTGACCTTTATTATTCATTGGCGGTATGCGATTTTGTTGCTCATTGGTAGAATTGAAGCGACCTTCGCCGGAGAGGAATAGCGAATGCCCTTAATCCTGCTGGATTATTTATTGTCGTTCAAGTCGCGATGACCGTCAATTGTAATAATTCGGGCGTCGGTAGCGTATTCTTGCCAGGCTTGCATTACTCTCCCAGTGGCCTTCGTTGTTCTAGGTTGCAAACGTCAAACCGACAGAGCCATAGCCGCGGGATTGACCGATCAGTCTATGGCATCATTCATGATCTCGGCCTGACTTGCAACCACCGCGACTTCGGCGAAAACCACCTCACAAGGATAAGGCGCAAAAGAGGAGCTATAGTATAAACCTCGCTCGATGATCTCTGTCTCCGTAGTATTGAGAAACTGCTATATTACCCGAGAAGGGATGACAACAGTGGTGTCGGCAATGTGCTCCAGTTTCGACAGCAACGGCTTGGACTGCGACAGGGACGGCTCAAACGACGACGACGACCGATAATACCGGCTTCGACAACAATGGCTTCGATAACACCGGCTTCGACAACAATGGCTTCGATAACACCAGCTTCGACAACAATGGCTTCGATAACACCAGCTTCGACAACGCGGGTTTGACAACACCGGCTTCGACAACACTGGTTTCGACAATGCTTTCATCGACAACGACGACCTGCCGACAATTAGCATCTTGAAAACATCGAGGAGTATACTCACCGAATCGGTCGTACTATTTGTTTCGGCCACAGTGGTCTTTCCAATCTTTCAAACGGAAAGCGAGACCTCAACCGATTCGCTTCGGCGCAGTCTTTCTCGCAGACCAGCTTGGCCTCGGCCACATTCACCTGACCAAACTTTCTGGTCAAGGACTGGCCAAGGACCGCCCAGAAGAGAACCTGCAAGAATTGACCCTGAGGCAAGGAAGTGCAAGATCTGATTATTGCCCCTCCGTTGCTGGGAGATACAGGCAAACCAATGCGTTTGCCTCAAACTGGCCACTGGGCCAACAGGCCGCCAGGCCGCACCATCATCCACATGGATTGCATGATTCAGCCAGAGTGGTCACGTACAAGGGCAACGAATGCCAATGTGGCCTCGCGGCCTACGGGACCCGTGTGACCGTGACCGTGCTAGCCCAGTGATCACTCAAACCATCCAGCTTCCGAATGACTTGCCGGTCATGACCACCACAGCCACTCTAACAGATGCTTTGGGAGCCCTGAGCGTGTTACTCGTGGTGTGGGCCTAATCTTTGCGCCCAAATCGGACTGGTCCCCGAACTTCACCGTTGTTGCTCAGCCTGAACTTCTGTTTCAGTTCGACTAAGACAACTCTGCTTTCCACGAGACTATTCCGGGAAAACATGCAAGAACTGTTCCTGCGCCGGGTAATTGTGAAAACCGAGTATCTCCCTGGAACTCTCTTGTTGAACAAGAAGTCGTCGAGCTCATCCGTAGCGTGCTTGTTGTTGACGAAGATGATGGTGCGGCCGGGAGGTACCGTGTTGAGGAGATCAAGGCAAGCTTGCTTCTTCAGGTAGGGTTCGACCCAGATGGTGTCTTGCTTGATGTTGCTATGGGTGCTTCTAGCCCGACCAACGCGGAGTCGCACATGGTGGTCGGCAAGTTGGGTCGTGGCAAGGCCATGAGCGGCTTTGGTGAAAGCAGCTGAAAGAGTGCATATACTTGATGTTGCCCTCTTCCTGGTCTGTAGAGAAGAAAGAACATTAGCCCAAGCTCCTGCTGTTGGATCAGTCCCAACGTCTTTGCGAGGCCACCAGGCCATCAGGCCACGAGACCACACAGTCAAGGACTGCCCTGATAAAAGGCGCCACTAACACCGCCAACGCCAACAACGCCAACCACACCAACCAACTGCCCCGAGAGAACTTGCAAGAACAGAACTGTCCGGAGAGAACCTGCAAGAATTGACCTTGGAGTCAGAAAATGCAAGACCTAGTATCTGCCGTTGCTCCGTTGCCGTTGGAAACATATCGACGCCTTTGCCAAGCCACTCACTTACAAGGCTGCCTTACCAAACCACCAGGCTCCACCATCGCCAAGTGCGACAGTGAGGCGGCTCGGCCCGTATGATCGACCGTCCCGTAACCATCTACCCGAGAAGCTGGACCACCAGGAAGTCAGGGACATGATCGCTGGGACCACGAAGACGAGATAGATCGACGGCTGGACGGGAGAGATCTGCCGGACAACATAATCGTGGCCATCTTCCCGAGAAGGCAATCCATCGGAGCAAGGACCAGGAAGTCTGCGACATGATCGTTGAGGTCGCTGACGAGGAAGAGATCGTTGACGTCGGTAAGGAGGAATGGATTGACGACGGGAGGTAGATGAGGTCTTCGAGAGATATCCTGTCAAAGTGAGCCGCGATACACAAACCAAAGGTACATTACCTATGTGCAGCTGGAGGGGGCCATTCACGCCTTTCGCGGCCTTCGCGGCCTTCGGACCCAGAACGCCAACCGCCCTGAGGCCCAGTGGCCGATTGCCATTGAGAAGCAGAAGGCCACGTTAGCTTCCGCCATGACCAACAAGGACTTGCATCGTCCCTTGGCCGTTGCGCGCAGTTTCGCACTCTTGCAGCGTCGAATTTTCCCGTCGTGGGACGACGAAAAATTGCCCGGAGGGCTGAGAGGGATAACGTCTTGTTCTTTTTCATGGTATCCTTCTCTAAATGTTCTGTGTACTTGGGACCATCGGACTAGAATATCTAAGCGATGTCCAAGTCTTGTCCGGTGAGCGAAAGCAAATGAGTAGCAGTAGCCACCCTACGCTGAAACAGTAACCATGGTAAGATCCGAAACCGTCTGAGTGATAAGATGGGTGAAACCGAAAAGGAAATGAAAAACCAAAACGGCAAAGTTAAACGGTTTTCCACCAGATTGCCTTGGGGCACGCTCGTTCTATACCTTGGGCATCTCCAAATCCCAAATTTCCCAACCGCCAAGGCCCAACAACGCCCATAAGCAAACATCAAATACGAGACGAAATGAAACAAACTGAATTCCTTGAGAACCAGAAACCGTAACCGTAATCATAATCGTGATCGTAACGTAATCGAAATCGTAATTCGTAAAGTCGTAAGTCATAAACCAGAAAGCCGAAAACAGAGAAGCACGTACTGATAGGAGAACAACCCATCATTATACACCTTGCTGACTCCTGCCACTGCATGAACTGAGCGGAGCAAGGCCCCGATCCCTGACTTTCTAACACTATAGATCCAGGTGGTCGAGACCATATCCCTCAGCAGAAATTGCAGAGAAGACCTGGGCTTCCACAGAATCGAACCCTCCTTGCGGTAGTTGCTCCTGATGATCCTGATATAACAGGGGATCCCAAGAATCAATTTCCTCTTGAAAAGACTGTTGCTCTGGTGCCCGCTGTTGCTCCTGTGGTTGATCTTGCTCCTGCTGCTGCTGGAGTATGATCGGGTCTGCAACTGCTATGGTTGCGGCTGTATTGATGAGTGTGGGTGGGCGTTCGGGCGTTCTTTCAGCGGCAGGCATGGGTATGGGCGCAGGTAGTTGCTCGAGGTTAAACACGGTCACTTTCGGTTGTACTCCATTTGGCTGGGTGGCTGCCGCCGTGATTCCATTTTCGTTCCCATCTTTGCCGAGGAAGTCAACGTTCAAGTTGACAATCTGGTGGTTGGGCACCCGGACGTTCTGGGTGGGCTGAAAGCCTGGTTGAAAGACAGGCTTGACGGGATGCGAAACCGTGGTAATAGGAACGCTTACCGAGATTTCGTTTGAGTTAGTTGGGTGGTTGAAGCGAGGGTTGAAGGAGTTGTGTTGCACGCCACGATCCACCGCAGCGCCATTGCTAGAGTTGCCGGAAATTGCGTTTAAACCGTTGGCTAAGTCATTGTCCACCAGACTTAGTAAGGTATCCCCCAAACGCAGGCTGTTGTTGTAGAAGGTCGCGCTATTCACTGAAAGGTTGTAGCCCAGGCTGTTAGGCCGAGTAAGGCCCATCGCGCTGCCGTTCACCGTGTCAACATTTCCCATGTAGCCTTCATCTAGACTGTTGACTCGGTTGCTGTTCTGGTTGCCGTGCACCCCAAAACCGTTCCTGGCGTCGCTTGAATAGGCCAGTGGAGCTGAGCGAGTGGGAACACCAAAGGTCAATCCGTTTCCAACATGATGGGTGCCAAGTGGAAAGCCATCGCCGTCCAAGCCTTGTCGAGATCCGTTGCCGAGTCTCTCTGCCCCAGAGAGGGACCCCATAGCCATGCCCACGCCCATACCCTGGTTGACAGCATTGCTCGAGTTAATGACCGGAGCAGTGGTCATCACCCAAGTACCGGCAGTGGCAAGGCGAGTGTAGGGCGGCGGGGGGGTCTCATACTTCTGGGCTTCGGCCGGTACCGAGAACTCTCGGGGGCCGTGGGTGTAAGCAGCAAAAGGGATTTCGTGATGTTTCTGGGGTTGCTGGTAATGGCGCTGTTGCTGGTCCTGTTGCTGTGGCAGGGCATGCCTGGGGGTTTGCGCAGACAAAGAAGACGATGAGAAGCCGGGGGTGTGGCGGTTATTGACGTTGTGGTTCTCATTGTCACGCTCGTTGTCTTCCCGGGCACGCTTTCGCGGGTTAACGTGTGAGGCCGGGGCTACCGCATTCCGTATGGCTTCATTGGCCTCCGCATCCATTTCTTCAGCAATTTCGTAACCATCGCGCCTAAGTTTCCTCAAGAGTGCATTAACGCGAATCTATTTTGCAATGATGATTAGTGCATATTCTCCAGGCATCAATACTACCCAGTGTTAAATTGCTTTAAAAAAAAAGATCTCCATAATACAAATAGAAGCCAGATCAGCTGGTGGACGTCGAGGATCGCTTTAGCATAGTAGCCGTCGGCGAATCCATTTCATGGGAACACCGAAACAGCTGAGCAATATGCGAACGCCGACAATGTATTTATGAGGATAAGATCGAGAAAAGTTGCAATATCTTTGATTGTGACCGCGATCCGAGATCGATGGTGATGTAAAGATAAAAAAATAGAAAAATATTCGAATGGGTTCAAGTGCAAACCAAGATTCGAGTTTGCTGGAAATTGCAATAATGGTTGGTTGAAATAGGAAACAGACCATGGAATGTAACCTTGCTTCATTGGAATGTACGTTGAGTAACTGGAATGTGACAAGCAAGGAAGCTGAGCTATCCCTACAAGTTTCTTTGTTTGACGACATGTTCCTGGGGGACAAAGCAAACAAACATCGAGCAATAGCAGAGCAAGTAACATACCTGGGTACTTTCTTGACTTTTCGAGCCCATATATGCGGTGACGCTCGCTAGATCGTACTTGATCTTCTCGCCATTGATAAATACCCCACACAAAAGCTTGTAGTCGCTACCCGTCAGGCTGAACGCACCCTTGGAAGCTTTAGAAGACTTGGATAACATCGTAGCAGGTACTGTGATATTTTTCGAGACGTGGTGTTGTTTGGTGATACCCTATAGAAGGCCTGAGGCGTGGTCGAGCCAAGTTTTGAGAGATTAGGTGGTTTGGCAGGTTTGTAAGATTGTTGGAGGATAGGAAGTGCTGATTGGAAGCTTTCAGCAGATGGTTTTCGTGGTAGTTGATGATATGTTGCTGCTGTTGGCGATCAAGTCTGCGGAAGTCGAGAAAGAGGTTAGAACAGAGAGGGTACTGTCAATAGTGGGGAAATAAAATCGTAGATAGGTGGATATGCGAGCAACTTGTAGGATATAAATATTGTTGATTGCCACGGTCGGCGTTATCGGCTGCGAAGGTAGAAAAAAAGGACGAACTTGGAGCCGAGTAGATAAGCGTGAGTAACTTTTCAGAGGTTATAGTACCTTAATCATTCGAGCGCCTTGATTTTGGACACCACGTGTCCAGTAAAAACGTAGTCTGGTTGATCTGTACACCTGGTGTGTACCGTATAAACTCTGGAAATCCAGAAAAGAGGTCAGATACAAGTGTGCGGATTTTGTAGGGTTAAAGGTTTGGTGATCGCGTTTAGCTGCGTGTATGCTGATGGTAATGCGCATGGCGAAGCTTTAACCCTGCGTTGACCTTTTCCGAATTTCCCGGATTTTGAAAGCCTGCTTTGGATGCATTGATTGTATGCTGGCCAGCGTCAAGTGCAGGTTGCATGCCCTAAGGTTGAGGATAGGTAGGTATCCCAAGGAAAAGCACAAGCTTCAGCGTCGCGTCATCCTAAAGTTGCAAAGTGGACAGACGGCCGGGGACCGGGGACTTCCTTTCCTCCACGAGCTACTCAGCGGCGATTACTCGAATCTTTGCCAACGGTATACGGACGACAACTCGTTGGCGAGTTCGGTGAGGATGGTGAATTGAGTGACATGACGCCGCCAGAATGCGGGAGAATAACGGGTTGCTGGAGAAAATTTGGTAAAGGGCAGTGGTTGCAAAGGCCAGATATACCGGACTGACACACTAGACTTGCGGAAGATTGTCTTTCTGGGCCACACAATGCTGGCAGAGCTACAGGGAACAAATTTTGAGCCTGTAATTGAACCACTGGCGAGTAGGAGTATTGCGCGCGATGAGTAATCTCGAAGAGCTTCACTAGCTGAAGTGGCACATGTGCTGGCAACTGCTCCTTGTCGTGCTGAACGTTGGGTGCTCTGAAAGGAAAACTAATGCAAGTCTGGTTCACCAATTTGGCGAATTTGTTCGGTAGCGAATCCCAACAAAGGGAGCTTGCCTGGAGATGACGGGGCCACTCAAATGTATACTGACGTAGTGAAATGCTTCTCTCCTATTGATATCTTGCACACTGATGTTGTTGTTGGCGAGTAGCCGACAGGGAAAAGAAGAGCTATGGCGCCTGAGTAGCAAAATAGTTGGCTCATCGTGATCGGGTAGGCTTCGGCAAGCAAGAGTCTGGAAAAGAGAACTACCTGTCCTCGAGATCTGGGGTGCCCAAGAGCGTAATCTTTGCCACGATTGCTTGGCTAACTGTTTTCTGCTTTTGTCGTTGTAGTCGCTGTTGTCGTTGTCATTGTATTGTTTGAGGAAGTGGACGACGACGTGGAGGAGAGAAGAAGGAGGAGGAAAGAGAAGGACAAAAGAACGAAAGAAGAGCAGATCCCAAAATTTTAGCTTGGGTTTGCCCACAAGACCACCAGTTTGGTGACGGTTGTCACCGAGAAGCGAACCCAGGGCTGCCGTACCTTCACCCAAACGGCCAAGGAAACGCCAGAAAACCGGGAGACCTAACTTGACAATCTTCAGACTTGATCATGACCCGACTTAGTGTACTGTTGTGATTCGGGCTAGCCAAAGCAAGGATACGCGGGCTATCGTGGTAACTGGGGAGGATCGGAACTTGACCAACGCCAAATCTCGGCAGGCCCAGATTTTGGAATTTCCTCAGGCTTTGGCTAGTATGGATCACTCCTCGAGAAGTTCGTTGAGGTTTGGTATCGCTACGTGTATCGGAATGGCGGTTACCGGCCTGTCAGGCCAGTTAGCAGGCTCGCAGTGAACGTCCTGGCGGTCGAGTATGGGAAGGAAGGTGGTCAAACGGCGTAAACTGATGGAACTGTCCCAGAGTATAATGTGGGGGGCCAGCTGTGGCTAGCCAAGGTGGCATCGAGGTACTGATGGGCCAAGCTGACGGACGAGCGGACGAACAGTGACCATGATGGTTGGTGGTGATTCACTGACTTGGGCCTGTAAGCCTATGAGAAGCGGAAAAGGGAGGTATTAGGCATCAAGGGAGATGGATGGAACGGCCGCAGAACATAGGGACAAGCATACCCGATATATAGCAATAATCCTGGAGGCATTGACTTATTCAAGCCGTGTGATTCTTGGAGGCCCGGGGCCAGCGACATGGACATGTGGGTTGACGGTTGGAAATCGTCTAGAAAAGAAGTACGAACGAACGTATACTGAAAGTCGGTGCGTTGTTGGATCAGAGCGAGTCAAATGTAGGTACCTTATGATTGCGGTTGAGAAAAGAGAAATGCCCCCCCGTCGCCAAGCCAAGTCTAAAATCCCTGGAAATAGAAAGTTAGGGTGGGGTGCTCTTTCCTCTTGTCAAAGCACTGGCCGTGACGAAGTACTTTTCTTGCACTTGCAAGCTTCAGTTGCGGGGGCCGGAAGCAGGAATACCAGGTACTTATAAATTAGAAGCGATTACGCAACGACTTTTGAAACAGAGAGATTTGACCCAACTGTGTGATAATGGGTGGTTTGAGGCTGACAACGTGGGCATATGTGGTTGACAGCTGGAAAAGTTCCGGGGAGTAAGCAAGCCAGTGGTGTACCATAGTATTTTGATGGAACCAGAGAGACAGGAACGACTGTCATGGTGGCCTTGAACGACACGCCACAAGGCGAAAACACCGAGTGTCCTGGTTGAACGCTTTCGAAATTATACCCGGAAAATCAGCCCAACCTTCAAAAACATGAAAGAGCACTGACACCCAAAGGGCATGCAAGGACGTACCTCACCAGTAACCATCATTCATTATCTTCGTTAAACCTATAATCGTACAATGGCAAACAGATTCCAGCAAAGATAAGACAGCTGCTATGCATCAAGCAGAGGACAAGAGAGGTAAACACTCAAAGCAAAAGACCAAGGAAAACCGACCGCCCGTCATAAAACCCAAAAACCAGATACCCATCCATAGCTAGTCGAAGAATAGTAGGCTGTTTGTGAATATCAAACTGTATGTATCCCAAGAAGCCCTTGTACCCAAAGAATAAGAAAAAAACAAGATAGAGACAGATAACAGAAGCAGGAACAACGAGGGAAAAAGTCATCTGGATCCGTATCCATCGCGGATTGTTTTCAATAGTGACTGGCACTGCTCCCCCTTAACATCAACACTGATACTGCTGAGCATCCCAGTCTTCCTGCTTGACCATGCCGGTCTGGTCCTCATGTTCCATCATGGTAGCATGTACCCGAAGTTGTTCAGCAGCATGCTGTTCGTTCTGCTGAGAGTCGCTTACAGCAAAAGCCATGGCATAGGTATCCAATTCGTATCCCATTCCATAGCTAGCGTAGGCAGGTAAAGTGGACTGCCAGGATCCGGTGGGGGTGATGGTGGTGGTGGCGGTGGACGAGCCAGTGGTGAAAGAAAAAGGGGTGTCTGGATGGCCGAGCAGCATCTCGGTGGGGCATGCCGTGACCGCTGCCCGGGTACAGATGTGAGGTGACGCCGTATGAGCATCCGAGTCGCTGCAGGGAGTGAGGAACCGCATGTGCATTCGGGATTGTATGTCGGACATGGGCTTGGCCATGGAGGTCGGTGTGGAATACACACGGTCGAGGGGTGACGGTTCGGGAGGTATGAAATCTTTCTCGTCCTTGAGAGGCGGGGATGGCATCGTCGCGGATGCGGCTTTGCTCTTGGACACTTCATCCTCCTTCTCTATCTCAACTGTGATTGCTTTCTTCTTTGGCTTTTCTCCCACCTTCTTCTTGGCCTTTGTAACTCGATTCTCGTCGGTATTCGTACGATTCCTCGGTCGGGGTTCGGTGCCTAGCATGGAGGCTCGGAATCGCGCGTAACGCATGCGGGCGGCATGGCCGTTCGATATCTTCTGGCAGAGAAACGGGCTGGCGGCTACCTCGTTCCAGTCGATCTGTAGAGGCAATTTCAAGTCAGCCAAACAGAGTTCGGACAGCCACCCCAATGGTACGCATAACAGACGGGAGAGGTAGTCACTCACATCCTTCAGAGACTTTTGCTGGAGGATGGCGAACAGGAACCTCGCCATGGCATTTTCGGTAGCAGACATATTGGCGATGACCGGACTAGCTTTCCCTTCCTGATGCCTGAGGATGTCGTCTTGGTTTCTGGAAGGTGGTTTCAAAGCCAGCCAACGGCGAGAAAAGGGAAAGTCTGGGGGAAAGCAAGGAGGGGGCAGCCACAATATGTACTATTAGCCGCTGGGAGTGCTGAGACTTGTCCAACCATTCAGCAGCAAGGCAGCCTTGGCTTCGGTCAGAATTACCCACTGTAGCCGGTGCGCGGGCGCTGTCGAGGTGTGGGGGCGTGAGTCAAGATAATGTAACTCGAGCGATAGTGGACAGGGTGTTGAGGGTGTGGATGAAGCATGATACTAGTAGACAGGGCTGGCTGTTGGAGGGAAACGAAGGGGGAGAGACGATAGGTTTATGTCTGTCTCACCAAAACGGTAGGCAAGTCAATACGGGGCGAGGATGGCAGCTGGTCGGAGAGGCAACGTGCGTATTGTGTCACGGTACCAGGCACTACAGTAGTCTCGGTACTAAAGAAAGATGTTGGTAGCAAGGAGCAGTATCGTGTACCGGCAGCAATCCGAGGCAGATGGCCTCCTCTCAATCTTCCTTTCCCTACGAGCAGAGCACAGCCGGGCAGGCACTCCATGGCCATTGAGATAAAGGAGATTTCGGGGGAAACGGCTGGAATGGGTGCAAGGTGCATGAAAGCCTGTCTGCAAAGGGCAGCATTGAGTGGTTCAATGGGCAGCAATCAGCGTTGCTAGGTAGGAAAGGGCAGCCGATCCTGACATGGAATCGATGGGGCGACAGCATCACAGATAGGCCACTTGGAGCGAGGTGCTGTAGACAGGAGGTAGGTATTGGTATCATTCAGGTAAGGTAAGAGCAAAGATATCGCCTTCCACTAGACACGGGCTAGCCCACACACCCTCCGGCCCGTTGTCCTGCCAAAGAAGAAATGTTGTTTGCTTTCAACTTTCCCGAATTGGAAACGAGGCGATACAATGAGAGTGGGAGAGAAACACGGAAGGGAGACACGACATGGTTGCGAATCAAGTACGGCATTCAAAGAAGTAAAAAAAAGAGGAGACAAGGATCATTTGAACACTAAGGACATGGTGACGCCGCGTCGCCTCGTTTCGATTTTTTGTTCGTTTTTGCTATCCCCCATCCAAGGTCGCGTATAGTGGGTGGTGTTGGTGGGGTTGCAGCGGACGGACGCCATGCACGTCGGGAATGAGATCCAGGGACGGCAAGAGTAAAAGGCAGTAAGACAGTGAGACTATAATGAGTCACTCGACTGCGAGTCGGACGAGAGCCAAACGAAGAGAAAGGAGTGTCTCTTGTTGATTGGTGAGAGAGTTGACTTGTAACCGGGCAGGATAGGAGACTCGAGCGGGAACGGAAAAGGGCTGATCAATGGAGGGGGAAGATGGAAGCTGAGATGTTGGAATGGTGGGCACTGCATGGTTGAGAGCCAGGTAGCTGCTAGATGCCTGCTGGTTCAGTAGGTAGCTCTGTGTCTATAGATACCTCTACCCCCTCATTGGAGGAATACTACCAGACGGGAGTCGTACCTGACTTAATAGAAAACCGAACTTACACCGAAGACCTCGCTGGTAGCTTTTTTGCCATCCTGTTGCCTAAGCAAAGTTGTTTGCAATGAATAAAAGAAAAAACCTCGTCGGAATTAGACCCTATGACTCTAGCGTTATGAACTGTTTTCTCCCATCTCGCCGGAAACGGACAGATAGCAGGCGCAGATGGTTTGAGAGGGTGGCATTAATCAAGGGGGCGATGACAGGAGCCAGAATGAGATGAAATGTTTGAGAACTTGGGGGCGCGGGACGTTGGAGGTCCTGGAAAATTACGTGGTAACAGCGCGTCGCAATCGGCACTGTAGCTGGTCTTCCGCGCGATGCTGGCGCCAAGTCACTTGATCAGGCGATCCACTCACAATGAATTTCTCCAGTCCCCCCTGTCCTGTGTCCTGGACCTTTTTGTCCAATGATCCAAGTCCTTCCGAGTCTCCCCGTGTCGTGCCTGTGTTTAGGTCGTTCTGTTCCCGTCCCCTCTTTAATGCGTGCGTGCCACAGCGCCAGGCAGAACCAAGTGTCTTGGGAAACCTGAGGCAACAACTTTCAGTTCTCTGTGGTCTCTTCCGATGTTAGACATGCACGGACCCCCGCACTTAGACCCTTGCTCAGCCAATCACCATCCAAAGCACCGGTGCCTCTCCACATAATGTGCACAGCATGAGCCAATCACGCCATTGGATTACCGGGCTCGGTTGAATGTTGCAGCCGTGGCTGATTTGGTTTGGGAACGTGGGCAGGACACACTGAAAAGGCCATCCTTCCTTAGCAGACCTTAGCAATTTCGCCATCAACCCTATCTCGTTCGTGGACTCGCACTCGACCAATTCATGACTGCTGTCCCGTCCAGCCCATCGCAATTGTTACCACTCGATCGCCTCGCCCGCGCCTCTGCCATCGCGTCCTTAACAGACATGAACAAGAACTGGAACGACCGGGCCGACAAGGACCTCTTCTTTACCATTCTCAATGTAAAGAACATCGGCGTCATCAGCGGCTCGGAATGGATCACCATCGGCAACACCATGCGCGCCATGGGCTACGGCTTTACCAACGAGGGATGCCGGTAAGTGCTTTTGTTGTCGTGTTATTCGTGTTATCTCCATAACAAACCTCAAGTCAACAAGGAGTTTGACTCGCGTGCCAAGTCATCAAACTACATATTGATTATCTTTTGGGATCCTGTATCCGTCTTGACTACTGGCATTGATGCTGTCTTCTCTGTCTTCTCTGTCTCTCTCTGTTTGTTGTCTTGTGTTCCTCGTCATCGATCCATCCATCGTCTTTGCCTGTCTGTATGCATCAAGACTGCATAAACATGTCGAGGTTTCGCCTAGATAAACCAACCAGGTTGACAAGAGGTCATTGTTACCACCCTGATCCATTGTTCATCCCTTAACAATCCTTAACATGATTTCCCATGTGGTTGGATGGATAGCCGTGGATATACACAATCATTTTGTTCTCCATCAACTACTCACCTGTCTCGCCATGACATGCTTCAGCCGGCTTCCTTTGCCGCCAGTGCATATCAAGAACTGTGAGCTAACCTACCCACGGCAGACAACACTTCCAAGGCCTTCGCCGTGCCCAGCATAAGAGCGAAGGCGGCGTTGCAACCGCCTCCCCTGACCCCAACCGGAGGGTAGATCCCACTCTTAACCCAATCACAAGGAGGCCGGGACCTGGACGTGGTCGCCCTAAGAAGCAGCAAAACACGGCCCAGGGGCAGTCCCCCGCCAGCACGGCTTCGGTCTCCGAAACGGGAACCACCGGCCCCAGTGTTACCCCGATCCCTCCCCCGGTTGTTCCTGGTGCTCCCGGTCAGAGCACCACCGCGATCCCCGTCCCCGTTGTTCCTGGCATGCCCGCTCCGCCCGGTGGTATGCATCCCGCTGCCATGGCCCAGGTTCATGCCCAGGCCCAGGCCCAGGCCCAAGCCTACGCACAGCAGCAGCATGCCCAGGCTCAACTTCAAGCTCACGCGCAAGCTCAGGCTCATAACCAAGCTCAGGCTCAGCAGGCCCGCGTCCAGCAAAATGGACGAGGCGGAAACCAGGCTGGCGGTCAAGGGCCGGCTAACCAGGGTGTCCAGGCTCAATCTGGCGGACAGTCGGCTGATGGAGATGATGTTGCCGTGGACCCTAGCCTCGAGGACGGCGACAACGACGAGCAGCAGCACCCCAACAAGCGACGCAAGATGGAACAGGACCCTCTGGACGACGCGGCGGTGCTGAATGCCTTGGCCGCCCACAACGACCCAGCATCAACCGCCGCACACTTTGCGCCAGAGTGAGTTGATCTTTACGTTGCCCCTCCTGTCTAACGCCTCACCTACCTATGCCGTTGCGGCGCTAAGATTTCCTTCAAGCTTCAACTACGAAGAGGCTTAAGGTCCCAACAACCTTGATTGCGGGCAGGTATGCGGTAAGGGAAGGTGGTTGATGGGCGTTTCCGGTTGTGTTTAATGGGATTCTGTGTTTCGGCTATAGGTATCTGGTCCCGGCCCCCCCCCCTCCGAACGTGTCAGGAGGTGGCAGTTGGTGTGTGTTTTAGTTATCGAGCAGTTATCGAGTACGTTTTCGACGTCGACGATTGTATTTTGCCCGCTCCGACTTGTCTTGCAGGATGGTCACGAGCATCACACTTGCAACGAGTACGGCTTCTTTTATGCGTTTCATGGCCTGAGATATTCGTTTCGGTATAAGTCACCTGTTTTGTTATCTCTCGTTTCCTATTCGTTGCCTGTGATGAAATATGATAACAGTGTTCTCATAGCGAGTCGGCTTTCCTTCCCCTCTTTCGGGTATATAATGTGACAACAATCTCAAGCCCTCCCATCTCTCCTCCTCCCCCTCCCCCACATCTTCCACGGTTCATCAACTTCTCGAGATCAACCTCAACTATCTGGTCTTCCTCAAGCCATCAGCCCATTGCTGCTCACGTTGAACTCAACAAGCCAGTCAACAGAACCGTATTACGCGCTTCTCGCCCAACAACACTCGTCACAATGTCTAATGCCGACGAGATCCCCAAGGAGAGCAAGTGGGGCAACGATGCACACTCAGCTCTCTGCGTAGCTCTCGCCGAGGCCCTGATTGCTGCTGGAAGCAGTCCCGCGCAGAAGAAAGACCTCATTATGGCCGTCATGAAGGCGTGTGGTCAACTTGGATTTACATGGGAATCTGTGCGGTAAGTGTGATACGTGTGTTCTTATTGGGTTTCCAGCTGTACCGCCCGCGTTTTGTCTGCTTGTGTTTCTTTTGTTTTGTTATTCAAAGTTACCAAAAACGCGTCTTCCTCTTCCTGCCATGCCCTTTTCTCCCACCTTCATTACTCCCACAAAACTTCTGCGATATCTACGCTACAACTACAAACGGTTCAACTTTTTGTCCCACCACCCAGCCCTTCCTTCCGAGAAGTCATCGCAAAATGCCGCGTTGGGACGAGCAGACCCATATCGATCTGATGATCGCCCTCTACACGGCCTTGCAACCCAGCATGACCAAGGAAATACAGGACTTTGTCGTCGAGGCCATGCGATCCAAAGGCCATGAAGACGTTGGATGGGACGCGCTCCGGTAAGCTACATGCGGTGAACCGATTTGGTGCTCGTTCCCTTACCCAGTTTGATCGTCTTGTCTCGCCAAGTGGCTTGCAAACTCGATGCTATAAAACCCCTCCTTTCTTCCGGCTAGCTGTATCCGAGTTCTCTCCCCTTTCCCTCAAACACACAAAGACCCAGCATCGTCCTCGCCCTTCTCTCACCCTTCCACGAAAACCTACTTCACATCAACGGAAAGTCCTCGCATTGCAATCAAAATGCCCAAGTGGGAGGAAATCCGCGATGATCTCTTCCGCGCGTACATGAACGCTACTGGCGTGATCACCCCGGAGATGCAGGTCTCGATCGAGAAGTCCATGCAACCGTATGGTATGAAATGGAATGCCATTAGGTATGTGATTATTATAGCAGGCGGGCGTCTTTTCTTTTCTTTTTTTTTTTTTTTTTTTTTTTTTTTTTTTTTTTTTTTTTTTTTTTTGCGAACTCGGAGGTACCAGATCCACCCACAGCTGGTCTTGATCCAGCACTGTCTGTTTGTGCTATAAGTTCTCTCCCCTTCTGGTCCTGCTCCTCTCTCCCTCCTTCTCCCCAGCAACCTACATGGTCCATTGCTGCCGGCTCACCAATTCCATCATCCCATCTCAACACAACCAACATATCCAACTCAGTCACCATGTCTTCGCAGCGGTCTGCGCAGCGAAACTTGACCAGGTGGGATCAAAAGACTCACGAGGACATCATGTTGGCGATGTTTGAGCATTTCCGTCCCACGGCAGCTGACATGAAGGAGATCGTTGAGCTCCTTCATGTCCAGAAGGGTCACACCTTCACAGATGGCGCTCTATTGTACGTTGAGACGAAACCGAGAGGATCTCCACCTTTCGCTTCGTTTGCTTCCCCATGGAGTATAAAGATCCCTCCTCTCTCCCTCCCTCTTCCCTCCTCGCTCTCTCACTCTTTCACATCTCCATCAACACCATCGCAGCAGTAGCAACAACACACTATCAGCACAACCACCAACCCCCAGAGCTTCGCCTTGTGCTTCAGTTTCGCAAAGAATCAAGCTGCTCTCAGCCTCAAGATGGAGGAAGAGGACCACGAAGCACAGTTCTACGTGGCCAAGGCTTCCAAGCCCACCAACTGGGACCACGATGCCCATCTGACGCTGCTCCAGGCCGTCATGATTGAGGCGCTTCCTTCGAAGCCCCAGTGGGACAGGATTCTGCAGCGCGTTGCTAGAAAAGGCTATACATATACACAAACTGCAGTGCTGTAAGAATTCAAGCCCGTTCTTGCCGCTTTTTCTGCCGCATTCCACCCGGGTGGGCGGTCACCTTATCCTCCCCTTGGCCCCTCTTTTCATTACTACCTATACATTTTTTCTGCCGGTTTGGGCCACATCACTCCTCCCTTCCTCCCGCAACTCACTTTCCAACTTACTTCCCACCACCTCCTACATCAAGCACCACCACGTCTGCTCTCCAGCCTCATCCATCATGGTGGATTCGGAAACCGAAAAGGTCGCCGAGACCAGAATGACGTGGAACCACAATGCCGACAAGCACCTCATCGGCTGCGTCGTTGATGAGATTGTTCCCGGCGAGGAGACCTACAGAAATCTTGCAGCGCGCATGAATACGTTGGGTTATGGCTGCACACCCAAGGCCGTGAAGTAGGCTGCTACTAACCATCTTTCTTTTGCCTCTGCTTTTCTATCGCTTTCTTCGTTCGCGCTTTACCTTAATTTTTCATTTCAACTTGACCACTTCATATGTGATCAAACAACCAATACTAACCACCTTCTCATCCACAGGCAGCACCTTCAGAAACTCCGCCGGAAGGAAGGCGTTTCCGCGGCGGTCGCCTCTGACAGCGGCGCTAACACGTCCACCCCGACCAAGGGCCGCAAGCGCGCTGCTCCCGGCAGCGGCGTCAAGAAGACTCCCGGCACCGGTCGCGGCAAGAAGGCTGCTGCTGCCAAGACTGCTCCCTTGGTGATCAACTCGGACGATGAGGATGACATCAAGGAGTCTCCGGAGAAGAAGCTCAAGACGGAGGAGAGCAAGGTGAAGGAGGAGTATGATGATGGGTGAGTACCTTGCTGAATGTCCTGTGTCACGGGGAGTGGAAAGTAAGGATGCTAACATTGAGATAGTGTCGACGACTACATGTACCCTAATGAGATTTAATCTCTGCTGGGTTGGATGTCGTCCGTTGCGGCTGCGATGATTCGTGGATTTTTACCATGAACTGCTTGCTGCTGTCTAGCTCAACCCCAAACAACCATCGGAACCATTTGCAGGAAGTCCCAGTTGACTTTTGACTTCGACTATCGACAATGGATCTGAAGGTCACGGGCGTGAGTTACATGGATGGACAGACGGTAGTCTTCTCGCCTCTTCTTCACTCAACAACACATCTGCATACGACTCACGGAACGTTTTATGGACATGGACATAGATCGGACTCTAACGGACTTTTCATATTTTCGCTGGCTGGCATTGACATCTGATGGACATGGTTGGTAACAGATACCACGATACTTGGCTTTACAACACATTCGACATCTCTGGAGCACTTTCACCTCTACTTTCGGCTTTCGTTTTTATAGCATGGAGTTGGAAGGAAAAGGATTAGCAGGCGCAAAGGATTTGTTGCTGGGTCTGGTCTGGTCTAGTGGCGTTTGGCCTTAAGCATCCGTCGGGGTTTTGCTGGTTTATGGAATGGAAATGATTCATGGTCTAGTCTGTTTTCTGGTATGGACAGATGGTTTTTCGTTCATAGTATCGCAGGACTCATGGATGGGATAGCATTGATAGAACCTCGACAGGTGAGGTGTTGAGGATCGAATCATTGATGCTTTCCCCTTACTTTTTCCTCTCGAAAATGGAAGTGACTTTGATACATGTGACTTGCTTCCAACCTGCAGCCGTGTTGTACATGTCTTGTCCATGACAAAATTGATGGGGTCTCTGTCCGTAGCTAGAAAAGGCCTTTACAAGACTGTAACAGAAGTTACAGGAACTCGAAAACACATTAGCTAGAGTTCCTTGGGGATATTTTCATCCAATAACTGCCTCAAAATTAGGGTCAAAGATATCACGAAGATGCTCAGATGCATGATAAGTATATACCCATGGTCTACTGTACTAGCCGTTACGTTTTCAGTTTATTCTCATGGTCATTCGGCAAGTCAACCTGGTCCCAACAATTTCTGCCAGGGACGAGCTTGTATAGCAGTGTTCATTACCTAGAGGTACATTCGAGCCTGCGCGTAGCGACTACGCATTGGCCCCGCTAAAGTCCACATGCCAAGTTTTTGCCCCGACAGGTGCGCTGCATTTGAACAAGCATTACATCCCGCACCAGAAGCTTCTGTGCTTGTGATTACTTGTTATGAGAGTTTCAACAGATTCATTCACTGGCACAAGGCTTTCCTGCAGTAAATGCTTGTTTTGGTCAAGTTCTCAACGAGTGTCCACCGAGCGTCTGTCGCTGCGCAAGCAAAAGAAAAAGTGGGTCAATTTCAGGGGCTGTGGCACAGAGAGTGCATGGCAGTCGGAAGGTGCACTCCGCGGCCAACACACAGGTTGTGCTCGACCTTGACATAAGTACCTACCTTGGGAAATTGCACTGGTTGACATCACGATGGCTGGCAACTATGACTGCGAACTTTTCTTTTCTTTTTCCTCTGAGTGACAACGTTCCTTTTGCTATTGTCGCGACGGGAAGTCGATAGATTCCATTGTCTTTTCATCCACCACCACGCAGCATCTCCGTTGCCACACAAGTACAAGGGAAAGCAACAGAATGGTGTCAATCATGAAAACCAATCTATCACATCGTGGCAACCGACTCTATTGCTATACGGAAGCAAAGACCTTTATCCTCGCCAAAGAAGAACCTCCAGACTCCGAGCGTGATCAAGATGAATGCGATGACCAACAAGAGCGCCGAGCCAATGTACGAAACCGAGAACCGACCAAAGGCGACAACCCAACTCTAGCGCCAGTAAACCAGAAGTGAAAGCGACCCTCGAAACATGACCAACTCCGGGAATGCAAATGTCTAAACCCAAGTCCCAACTCCAAGATTGGAAAGCAGAAAGCAGAGGAATTCCATCAGCCAAAGCAAAATCCCAAAAGAGCCGCCAGGATATGACCAAGGAAAACCCCAACCACAAAGGAGCGACAAGAGGCGAAATCTTTGATGTTGAGGCCGTATTGTACCTAGTTATCGGTCGTATGCGAGAAGGTACGGTACCGGCTGTCGCAGTTGGTGCTGCGTGGCGAGATTCTGCGTCCAATATCGTTAGAAACCATCCAACATATCAAGGGAATAGAGGAAAGACAGAGGAAGTGGGACGACAGGAGCACTTACCTAGATCTCGTCAGGGTCAATACCACCCACAAGATGAACAGCGTCAGCCGCATCATCAGCAGCGAGAGTGTCGGCGATAGCCTCAAGCTCCGAGACACCTTGCATGGCAACGTCGATGTTGCTGTTGTCGCCATCCTTGATGGTATCACCAACAGGAGAAGAAGCAGACGCAAAGCCAGCACCAGTCGTGCCGTCGGCCGGCTCGTTGACGGGAGCAGCAGCAGCAGCAGCAGCAGCTGCCAACGCGGCCTTTTGCTTGGCCGTCATACGCGGCTTGCGCGGCGTGGCCTTTTTCTTCGCGGGAGTTTCCTCGAAGAGAATCGCATCGGGGTCGCTCGCGTCCTCGGCGGAACGCTTCACGCCAGAGCCAGTCTTGGACGGCGTCTCAGGTGTCAGGTCGCCGAGATCCAAGTTTCCCAGGGCAGGGCCTGGGGTGGAAAGGGCGACGTCCTCGTCGCCACCGTTGCCGGGGGTGAGCGTCATGGCCTTCTTGGGGGGGCGACCACGGCCGCGCTTGACCGGGGTGATACCAACTTCGCCATTCTCGGCGGCGGCGGCAGCAGCAGCAGGAGCTGCCTTCTTTGCGCTGACAGAGGCCGCGCCAGCAGCAGCGCCGTCAGGAAGGCCATCCAAGTTGAGATCACACTTCTTGCGAAGCAGTCTCCACGCCTCTCTGGCACTCTTGGCGTTCTTCTGGCCGAGAGACTCGGCGACTTTCTCCCAATTGGCATCGACTTTGGTGGTCAGGTTCTCCAAGATGGCGCAAACCACCTTGGTCTCTTGGAAGGTGAGAGCCTGTCCATTGATGACAGGGCCGGATGTAGCGCCCTCAGCGGGAGCGGCTTTGAGAGGCATCTTGACTGCTTGGTATAGCTTTGGCGGGTGAGGAGTGGTCAGTCTCTTGTGAAGTAATTGGCGAGCAATAAGGTAATGGAAGGATAAGAGCACGAGAATATGAAGGTAATGTCCTTGTGATTTGATTTGGATCGAGCGACTTACGTTCGAGTGGCAGAGGTGAATATTCTTGCAATAATCAGAAATCGTAGGCAACGAGGTGATCGTGAGCCCAAGCGAATTCTGCCAGCGACGAGGACGAACTTGTCGGTCAATGCCTGAGCATGGCTTGAATGCAATTTTGATGGAAGAAGACAAGGCTATACTCACCAGACGAAGGGGCTGTTGACGACGAGTTCTGCCCGGAGCAAGAGCTAACTGAGACACTGAGTGGTGATTGGTGATGACGGAAGCTGTCGAAGTTGTTGCTTGGGAAAAGAAGAGCGCCCTGACGAGAAGGGTACCAAACAACAAAAGAATAAGGAGTGGAGTTCTTGCCGGCGGGAGGGGGGAAGTAAGATGTCACGACCGGAAAACCCTCGCTTACAAGAACACTCGCCCGCAAAAACCAGCGTGTGACCACTTAGTCGCCTACCCCTAAAGGTCCTCACGATAAACGTCCTCTTGTTGGCCAATGGGGACAGCTCACAGCAAAAATTGTACGAAATAGAAGGAAGCCTGCATGATAATGGTATCAAAATCCTGCGGAACTTCTTCGACTACCAAGCTTCAGACGGCAAACTTTCCATAACGTTTGCCGGAGACACCTCCTCGTGACCATTTATCTATGCCCCCTCCCGGCCCGGGGGCCAAGAACTTCTACGCTACGCCACTGAGGGCTGCTCTTCACGGCCGGCACTCCAAGCAGAAACGATAAACCAGATACATTATCCACAATGGCCAGCTACCGGTACGTCGGGTCCATAAACGTTTGCTCCCAAAGCATACCGTTTGGTGAGGCAGAGATAGAAAGCCCATCTCTTCTGCCCTAGTGTCTGGTAGTCTAGTGCCGGTCTCTGAGGGGGGCCACTTGGTACCTGGTACAAAACTTTGAGGGTCTGGAGCTAGTAATAGCTGGTATCTGGTTGCCGTTGGACAGCAGTGTTACCAGAAATTGCCGGACTGATACCTCCCGATCTAAAACGCTTGGTGAATTGGTACAAGCCCGATGATATTTTCCAAGCCAAGCGTGACGTCTGGTATTCGCAGCTCCCCTAGTACCCGACTGATGACAGTTCTACACCGGGCTTCTGCTTCCACTACTTGAACTGTGAACTCTTTTTTCCTTGCCTTACCGTCGAGAAATTCTATTTTTCTCAACCAAACATCACCAACTTGTTTCCTTCAGCATCCTTCAGCATACACCAAGCTCACCTCCACGGTCTGTTTCCAGCAAGACACTCGCCAATAGCTTCCCGTTCTTGTGAGTAGACGACCTTTTTCCTAGTAGCTTTACCTACCATGCCAATTGGGTCTACCTTTTCTGCTCGTGGCTGCGGTAGGATCATCTTCAGGCGCCTTCTGACAAGTTCTCTCACATCGCTAGACTCCGCAAACAACAGACCTCTGCCATCATGCCCCCCCAGCCTGCTGAGCTCGCCATCACCGGCACCATTCATGGCATAAAGCCCACCGAGAGTGATCTCAAGATCATCTTCGGCCTCATGGAGAACCTCCTCGCTCCCATTGAAGCCGATTGGGATGGCGCGGCCAAATCAGCTGGCCTTAAGGACCGCAAATGCTTCAAGGAATTGTATCGTCGCTTTCGCCTCAAGTACGGCCTTCTTGACGGCGCGAAGGGCACCGCTAACGGCGGTTCTGGTGCTGCTGAAGGCGATGCTGTCAAGACCACCGTCAAGAAAACCCCTAACGCCAGGAAGAAGAAGCCCGCCGCCGACGAGGGTGACTCGGGAGCCCTTCTCACCCCTACTACCTTTACTCCCGACCATACCGGCCTCATCAGCTCGACCAACAACTTCAACCTGAACGACAACATGGACTTCATCGATCATGAGCAGCCTGACACTCCGTCCAAGTCTACCACTACCGCCTCGGGCAAGAAGCGTACTGCTGCTGAGGCCAACCCTGACGAGACGCCCGCGAGAAAGAAGCCTACTTCTGCACGCAAGCCGCGCATGACGGCCAAGCAGAAGCGGGAGGCTGCGGCCGCTGCGGCTGCTGCTGCCGAGGCTGCTACTACAGCTGCTGAGGACCCGATCGGCACCGTTGCTTCTTTCAACGAGCCGATTTCTTCTCCCGTGTTCCCGGCTGGTACTACTATCGATGATGCCGCCGGTATTGATGTTACTATGGAGGGCATGGAAGAGCCTGGTAGTGAGGCCGCGGAGGCTTTGGCTTTGGCTTTGGAGGCCAACGCCGCTGCTGAGGCTGAAGCTACCTCCACTGCCTTCATTTGATGACAGTAGCGCTAAGGTCACCATCCCGACTGAGAGTTAGATACCTCAGGTACGTTATCACGTCGTTCTTGCTTTATTCCAAAGTGAAATTGTTTTTGGTCACTAATACTTTCGATCCTTCACAGATGTTGGTTCTCAAGTTCCGACGACCAGTCCCTTTCTTTGCAAAACGTTCCACCCTACGCTAGGTATTTTCGAAGAAGGTTCTTGTCTCTCAGCTCATCTTGCGCCTTTTCCTTGAGTGTGGTTTGCACCTTTGGAGTTTGGTTTGGTTCTGGGTCAGACAGCATGTAGACTGGACATCATGGATGTTAGTTTGTGGGGAAGGTGGCCAAAGTAGCATGAACACGTGTTGCTTTCATTATGATTCTTTGCTGAGTGCATACAGCCAGGCGTTTGGAAGCAATAAAATTGGGCGTTTTCAGTCATTGGCATGTACTCTTCGTTTGGCGCAGTCGGAATGGTGTCTTTGGTGGACATATCCGGTGCCTGGAGTGTTTTTTTCACATGATACTCGACATGGAAATTTAGGTGGTGACTGGCTATGATGTACTTTCGTTGCTTGCTTCAGTGGATTTCTGGGAGCTGTGGAGCTGGCCGCTCAACAAAGGAACCTGTGGCTTCTTTATGGCAGAAGATAGGATGAAAGTCCATCCATAGAGGCAAAAGATGAAACCAGTTCTGTCCACCGTCGATACTGTCCCTGTCTTCCATCGTGATTTCTACGCTTCCATGCCTAGCTCTACGTGCTTTGCCGGCTTGGGTATTGACTTCCTCTTGTATGTACCAAAAAGAAAAGGGGGGCTCGGCAACTGCCACGCTCAGAAAATAAAAACTCTGGCTTGCAAGATACTTACTTCCTCAAGTGATCCGATCTGAACGCCTACCATCAAAGGTTCTCAAGACAAAGGTCCTCTCCCTGGAAAGGGCTCTCTGAAGAGTCGTAGGAAGATACCCCTCCGTGACGTTTGGAAGGTGCATGCCCCCTTGAATTTCCACTTGCACACAACGCTTGGTCGGGCCTGGAATGTATTTTCTTCTTTCTCCCCTCACATCACCAATCAAGCACTTCTCCCAACCAGTACTCCTTATCATATTGATCATGGGCCTGGACAACCGAATTATTTGCATTGTTCTCAAACTACCTCCTGCTGTATTCTAACCCCGCAAAAAGTCTTTGATGGATGCCCGTACTTCGGATGAAAAACTTGCAAGTACCGCTATTCTATATGCACCAAAGACCTTTGGCCCTTCCGTTGATGCTCTAGGGTAGCAGTTTCCAGTGACCGTAAAAGAGTCCAAAACGAGTCCGAAGCGCCAAACAAGTATGTGTTCGCAAACCGAACGTGCCAGTTTCTCTTGAACGCCTTTCAGAGCAAGAAAAAAAAATCAAACCACAAGTGGACTGAAAGCATTGGATACATGTATCCGCCTTGATACCTCTAGCATCTGACCAACTCCAAGAACAATCAACCCATGACCAAATCCCAGCCGGAAAGCCATCAAAACCAAAGTCCAAAGTCCCAGTTGTAAACAGAGACTATCGAGAAACCGATTTGAAAGCGATGGCGAAAGTTATATCGTTGAAGGTTGATGTTGATGTTGTGGGTCCAGTCCGGCAGATGGAAAGAATCAGTCCGTTTGGGTTGTTGCGGCCAGCCTGGTGTCTAGGTGTGTAAGCAACAGCATTAGCGACCTCTTTCTTCATCTACCTTGCAATCTTCCTCGAAAATATAGAGACAAGTTAAGGTAAAAGGGAAACTTGCGTGTACGTACCAACTCAAATCTCGCCAGAGTCGGAGCCACCATGATCATCCTTCATGGCAACATCAATGTTCTTGTCGCCATCAGAACCCGCAGCAGCGGCGTCAGAAGGAGCAGGAGAAGTCTCCGCAGCAGTCTCTGCAGCAGTCTCCGCAGCCGCCGCCTCCGCCGCAGCAGCAGCAGCAGCAGCAGCCTCTCTCTTCTGCTTGGCAGTAACGCGCGGCTTGCGCGCCGGCTTCTTCTTAGCCGGGGTCTCGGTCATCAAATCCGCATCCGGGTCAGCATCAGCCGCGTCAGCAGCAGTACGCTTCTTGGCAGAAGTGCTGGTGTTCACGCCGCCACCGAAGATGGACTTGCTGGGAGTCTCGGGGGTCTCAGAGCCAGCGTCAGCGACAGTGAGCGCCTTCATGCCTGCGGGGACGCCAGGAGTCAAGGGGCTCGGACCGCCGGTCTCCTCGGTCAGGACTTTCTTGTTGGCGGGACGGCCACGAGCGCCGCGACCGCCGCCGCCGCCGCCGGGAGTCTTCTTCGGGGTTGCAATGGTCTCGCCGCTGTCGTCCTCAGCGGTGGTAGGAGCGGGAGCAGCGGAAGAAGTCTGCTTGGTGCCACTGACACTGTCGATGTTGCACTTCTTCTTCAAGGTCGGCCACATCTTCTTGAATGAACCGACGGTGTAGCCGGCGAAGGCGGCGGCAGCGTCCAGGTCTGCCTCGATGGGCGCGGTCAAGCTGTTGAGAATGCCGAAGATCAACTTCATGTCGGAGGCAGTCATGGTCACACCATTAATGGTGTACACAGTGTCGCCGACAGGAGCAGACTTGGGAGCCATGGTGGAAGTCTGCGGATGGAACACCATTAGCTCGTTGTCCATCGATCGAGTGATGTTATCTATCAAGCTGACATCATTCGATGATTTGTGGCAACCACCATAGATTGTAAAATGACAAGAAAACTTGGAAGATGGGAACACCATCTTGCTTGACCAAGGAAGCAATGGCGTCCACTGGAGAGGGTCGCGAGGTCACGCAGGGGTATGGTAGTAGACAGTAGAGGGCAGTATCAACGAGATGCTATCCAGATGGATCAGCTTACCGTCGAGTGATGAAGGTCAAATTTCTGAGGCGACAGCGGAGATGGCCGTGGGCAACAAGGGAATGTTTGGGCGCGAATGAGCTCCTATCTGCAACGTGGGAAAACTTGTCAGGAATCATGAGCACATAACAAAGACCGACCTACCGAAAGCAGAAGCAGACACGTCAAGGAAATTGGCCTGATGAATTAGGTCGATGGAAGAAGATGTGTTCTTTTTACTCACAAGAAGCTGTTGATGATGTCTCGCTAGAAGAAGCAAGGCCAAGCTGCAAAACTCGAGGCTGTGGTACGTCGAACGCAAAGGGTGTGATGCTTTGCAAGCGAAGGAAGAGAATTGTTGACGAGAAGAAAGAGAAGAAAGTGTCAGCTCAGAATGGGCCGTGTTGAGTCGGAGGGGGAGGGCAGAAAACAAGACGTTACGACCCGAATCGAGAAAACCGCAGCGAAGTGGTACCAGTTCACCGGTCTAAGAAGAACGATAGGTATCACTCCGATTTATCTCGAGTTCGTTTAGTTCAGGAACAACAAAACGCCAGTTGTAACCAGCCATATACACCGCGAATTCGGTACCGGGTACCAAGTGTCCCCCCTGAAGCCCGGACATAGACTATTACCCCAGCAGGAAATTTTGAAAGGGACCTCTCCCTCGCCAGACGTTTTTCCTTTAGGAGCAACCTACTAATACCGGCTGATGTGGATCTCATACATGCCCGGTGCTTAGCCTTATCATTCGTTAATCACAGTGGAGGGCAGCCCTCATTGGCCTAATATGGGGGTTCTTGGCTCCGGACGGGGCATCTAAGGACGGTCACGAAGGGGAACTTTTTCGAAAGTTTGCCGTCTCAACTAAACGGAGTTCTAAACGGAGTTTCCCAAGTTGTTTGTTGTTTCGGATTCTGGCAAGCGAGGTTTTTCCGGCCGGTGCATGATATCTTGATTTCCTTTTTTTTTATTCCTTCCATCGGCAGCTGTTCCACCCCGGGTCTCCACGACTTGATCTTCTGCTATTTTCTCTCCTCGTCAGGACACTCTTCTTTTTCAAAGCAAGAACATATCCTCTTCCAGTGAAACTACTTATCAGACTACTTGCCGTGAGTCTCCTTTGCAAGTATCGGTAGGATTATCAGCTATCGTGTTGTCTTCAGACCTTGACTCACATTTCATTCTTCGTCACCAGAAGATTTCCTTCAACCCCGAAGTCGCCCTCTTCTGTTGCCTACGATCTTTGGAGATCACCACGAAAGCTCTCAAACCAAGTCTTTGCATTACTCAAACGTAGGTCCGTCACTCAGGTCTTGTCTACAACTCAGATCCCAAATAATAACCACAAGCAGAACTCCCATCCATCCAAAATGCCCCCCAAAGCCGTCGCCAATGGTGAGTCTGCTTGCACCCTCCGCGGTCAAGCCCTCACCAGCAGCGAGGTGAAGATCCTCTTCGGCGCTCTCAGCAACCTGAACGCGCCCCTCGATATCGACTTGCAAGGCGCCGCCGAGACCGCCGGTCTCAAGCCCAACTCGTACAAGGAGATGTACCGTCAGCTCCGTCGCAAGTACGAGCTTGGCAATCCCAACGCCGCCGCCGCGGCTGCTGTTGTTGTTGCTTCGGGAGGAGGTGACAGCAACCAGTCTGTCACTACCTCTACTGGTTCTTCTTCTTCTACCGCTACCCCGAAGAAGGCCCCTGGAACTGGTGGTGGCGGCGGTGGCAGTCGCGTGAGCCGTGCTCGCCCCAAGAAAATGTTGCTCACGCCCGGAGTTGGTGGTGGTACTAATCAGGGCGTCGAGGCCGCCCTCGCCACCCCTGGCACACCCATGGGAAACCTGAACTTCAACGACATGACGCCTGAGACTCCGTCCAAGAAAGCTTTTGGTACCTCTAACAAGCGCTCGGCTACTGAGGCCAACCCTGACGAGACTCCCGCCAAGAAGGGGCCTGCTGCTCGTAAGCCCCGTGTTTCCGCCGCCGCGAAGCAGAAGGCTGTGGCCGCCGCCCAGGCTGAGACTAAGGTCAAGGTTGAGGCTCCTACTGATGCTGGTTTCATCGGTGATTCTTACGGCAACGATATCGATGCCGCGATGGAAGGCATTTCCCAGGCCGCAGAGGCTATTGAGGACACTCTTGCTGCTGCTGCGGCTGACGAGGGTTACATTACTGCTACTGAGGGTGGTGGTCCCGATTACGGCGAGATCTAGCCCACAGGTGAGTTGTTATTTATATTTTGCTTCGTTCGTGTGAGTCTCTCCTCAGTGAATCCTCTCAAGACTGGGTAGTTGTAAGTTAAAAGTTGTAATAGTTGCTGATGGTTTTGTTCATTTCCAGGATCTCACCACCGACACGACCGCCAGTACTTCGCACATTGGAACCACTGATCAAGACGACCTCAACAAGAATGTTGTCTGTCTCCCCTACAGTCGCATCTTGATTGGTGGTCATAATGTGGTTGGCTCTTTTGGAGTTTCGGTCTTGCGCTCTCGGTCACTTGCTGGCACTTTTCTGCTTTCTCATGCTATCGATCTCGGAGTTAAGGCCTGCGTGGGTTTAGACATTTACATTCCCGGTATTACCATAGTCGGCAGTTGGTCTTGGTGCAAGGGTAGCTTTAATCTCCATTTCTTTGCTTTACACAAGCTCGGAGTTGGGAGTGCCCCCTTTGGTCGGTCGGTTGCATGATACTTAGTTTGGCGTTGTCAACGGGATTACTCCTCCTCAAGGCTTGGGGGTTCTTCTTTGTTGGCGAGAAATAGATTTCTTTGCTGTCGTTTTTCGGTATGGCCGTTGGCATGATGGATCCTGTCATGGCCAGTTATCACGTTTTCTTGCTTTGTCGGCATTCAACAAGGCTGATGGAAGGACAAACAAGGAAGGGGAATCCATGACCTCGCTATAGAATAGTAGACTGAACGCCTATACCTACTAGAGAAAACAAACCAGTTCACGGTTGAGAGAACCCCTCTGCCAGCCATCGTGATGTCTACAGCAACTGATGCAAACTTCCATACTGTTCTCGTCGACATTCCACCTCCAAAGCCACATACGGAGAGTTGTGTACGGCAGAAGAGCTAAACTGAGATCAGTAGCCGCCTGTCCCTTCCTCTTTCTCCCTCAGTACTCCCATCTCTTTCTGCATCTTCTTCATCGTCGTTACTCTTCTTCTTGTTGTGGTTGTCGTTGTTGATCTTGTTGTTCTTTTCACTACTGCTCGCGGTAGCAGCAACCACGCAAAGACCCAGGAATACTCGCAGGAAGAGCTGCGCCACCTACATCATAACAGCAACCCTCAACCATAACAACCTCAACGGCGCCACCGCCGAAGCCAACGCATTCTCATACGCAGTCGAAGACACACCACCACCGCCGCCCTGGTCCAGGAGTAACCAGCCCGGCCACTCTCCCAGACTCTCATCGTGCTCATGCTCGGCCTTGGCTGACAAAGACCAAATATACCTGGCGGCTGCTAGTAGGGTTTTGGCTCTCTTGGTGGTGGGAGAGAAGGGGGTGCCGGTTAGTCCAGTGGTTGGAGTGGGGAAAGGGGAGATTGTAGTGGCAGTCGTGATTCGAAGATTGTTGAAGAAGACGGAGTTGGAGATGGAGGAGTAGGATTTGGAGTTGGAAACAGGTTTTGCTCCAGCTCCCAGATGTTCTAGGGGCCAACCAGACACGCTATCCTGCTGGTCAGGGGCATTCAGAACAACAAACAAGTAAACAAACGCCACCCTAAACCCAAATTCCGTGACACGACAACAGGGGTCTTCAGTTTGTGTACCTGCGTCTCTGCCTTTACTCTTAGTACCCTTGTTGGTAGAGGTAACCGTGATGGTGGGCTCCTCATTGGCCACGGACTCGTTCTTGTTGATGGGCGTATCCCAAGACCAAGAGTAACTGGCATGGGCACGGGCATGACAACCGGCAGAAAGACTAAGAACTCTCTCGTGTTGTTTCCTCTCGCTCTTCTCAGCCAGAATGGAACGCCAGAGAAGGGATCTGGCAACGACCTTGAAGCCGATTGCCTTGGTAGGGCAGCATTTAGCGTCGGTCTGGGTACCCCTACTGGCGTCAGTAGCGGGCTTGTTGTTGACGGAGTCTTTGTTGTTGTTTTTGTTGATTTGAGTGCCGGAGATGAAGACTTGGTGATGGACAGGGGCATGAGGTCCGGTGATAGTCGGCGTCTTGACGGGTGCAAGCCTGGGGGCTGAAGCTGGAGCAGGGAGGAGGTTATTGCGAGAAGGAGCACTCAAAACCGTAGGCCGAATAGGGGTAAAGGGGGGAATGGGATTTTGGTGAGTATGGGGAACAGAAATGGCATCAGCCACAGAGATAAAAGCAGGCTGAAGTTTATCGGCGTCAACAACAAGCGGATGTTGAGGGCACGGAGAGTTGGAAGCCCTCCAAACCGCAATGTCGTCGTTCCAAAGCTGATACTCCGCACATAGATTCACCCACGCCTGCTGAGCCTCATCAGCGCTCCCCAAGCCAGCCCGCTCAGCAACCTTGGCCCAGTCAGCTAGGACTTTGTCCTTGAGATTTTCGAGGATGCTAAATATGAGATTGAGGTCGCTGGTGGTCGGTTTCAGGCCACGGAGTTCTGGTTCGATTGAAGAACAGCGAGCTCTCTTTGGGTCGACTGGAAGATTGCTGTTAAGTAGGAAGGTCCGCCGGAATCTGTACCACTTGTTGCGGAGCACTTCTCCTGAGCTGAAATTGGCTGTTTGGGCAGCCTTTGCCGCGTCAAATTTGAGAAGCCCTTTGTTGTTTCTGTCACTGCCAGTGATATTCTCGAGTACGCTGTAGATGAGGTTCATGTCCTTTATACAAGGCTCTCTACCCCGGAGCTTGGGAACGGCGCTGGAGGTTTTGGGTGGCATTGCCAGTTTCTATGAGAGGAGTAGGAATTATTATTGTCAGCAACCATAGTTTGGAACATTGAAGTTGCGTATCTGGGTGACTTACAACAGGTGAGGCTCTAGGCCTTCAAGAGTATTATCTCTGCCCGGAAAAGAAAGCTCAAGACCAAGTTGGAGATCAAGACACAACAAGGGCGGGCAGAATTTTGAGATGTTGCTCTCTGGTGGCAGTAAAAGTGGAAGAAAGAAAGTTATTGGAGTCGAGGGACTCAAGATCGACTTTATACCCAGATGCTTCTCTGATCAAGGTTACATGGACCGTATTGCACAATTTTCGGATTTTCAAGGTTCTGGCCCTTTTCTGCCTGTCACCTGCTATACATGTAGATATATAACAAAGCAGTGAGCGACCAGAAACATGCCACAAGAACCTGGAAGTGATCTCATTCAGGTTTCTCATCGCAAAGAGATATCTGGGGACAAGGTTCGAGGTTGGATTCATCAAGCCAAGTAAAGACCTACGACGCCCCATCAAGGTAATGTATATTGACCTAGGTCTTTTTGGAAGCAGACACTCCCCGATCACTAATACTGGAAGCTTGCGGTGTCTCAGACAATGATTGGACAGTTGCGGCAACATGCATGCATGCTTTTGACAGTAATGACTTCACCATCGTATGCCCCTACTAAGGTAAGGACAGGCTCCAAAGCTGGATCCATCATTTTCTCTTGGAATTTTCACCCCAACCAGAAAGTAAACAAATGTAAATGTGTAGTAATACCAGAAATGAGTAACTAGATAACATATGACCACTGGACCCTAGAGTACTGCTGCACTTGCTACGTCCCAGATCTTCTGTATCGAAGAATGCCAGGTCGACTGCCCATTGACCGACCAGCTTTGGGCAAATTATCAAGTGACAGATGACAGACGACAAACACTTCCTTTTCTGAACGGATACTGCTCTTCTGCAGACCTCAGACACGTGTCCGAAAGGGACATTAATCGGTAGGTGACTATCCAAAGGACAGCCAAGAACGTCAAGGCTTGGATCATGGACAAGTGAATGGGTTCTTAGTCACTTGATTGTTTGATGACACATGTTCCATGGACGTTCAACAAGGGATGAAATATTGAGTGCAAAGGAACAATAGGACTTGAGCGTTTGAGCTGCATTTCATGCCATGTGTGAAAATCGCCTCCACGGGAACTTCGACAAAAAGCTTTCGTGAAGGACATGAAAGTCATTCTGGATTTATCTGATGGAATAGCGTTTTGGGGGGCTGGGGCTGGACATCACTCTCTGATATTCGAATCCTTTCTGGCGTACCTGCCATCCCACTTGGGCAAACAGACTCGACTGTTGAGTCTTAGCATTGTAGCGGGGTTGCCCGGACGATGAATAAAACGGATGGAAATTTCCAGTCAACGGTCGCTGCAGCCTGTCGAGTACGGCCACTCATCCAATGATCCGCCGTCCTGGACAGTAGTCTCGGACGACAAACACGTCCTGGCGGTCTTGCCGCCTGCCATAATAGGGACGGTGTGTAGACAGACATTGTCGTCAAGTGGGGTCCTGGACGTCCATAAATATCCCCCATCCGTCGACGTCTCTCACACTCTTCCTCCTTTCAACAACCATAAGCTTGCCTACCAAAGCCTTTTGCTTCGAAGCACTCGCCGAACTCATCTTTCTGACAATTTGTCAACCAAAGTGAGTCCAAATCCTTCAGATGTGTTTGGCTGCAAGAAATAGCGTCATCTTCTCGCGTCTTGCCAGTCCACTTGCACCTTCCACTTTCCTGTCATTCCATCGCACTGCTGCCACCAGGCATCCCACAACAGTCACTTGACAGTCACTCGACAGGGTTGCCCTCTAACCAGCAGTCAACTGACCTGATAGCAGTCCTTCCCAGCCGACCACATCTCACTCAACCTTCAAAATGCCTCCCAAAGCCAACCAGGACGTCGCCGGCCAGATGAACTTCCTCTTGACTTGCATCAAGCACTCGACCAATGGCAAGATCAACTGGACCGAAGTTGCCGAGGAGCTCAGCATCGTATCCAAGGCCGCGGCGTACGTCACTCAACTCACTCAGTCACTATTTTCTCACTTTGCACCCTCACCCCTCCCGCAATGAACTCGAGTCGATCTGACACTTTTCCGCATTCCTAACAGTGCCAAACGCTACGAGCGCCTCCTGAAAGCGCACGACATCCAGCCGCCCAAGAACTACGGCTCCTTGACCGATGATGTGGGCGCCAGCGGCGCGAGCAGCCCGGCCAAGGCCAAGACTCCTCGGGCCCCCCGCAGCACTAAGCGCAAGAGGGCCACTGCAACCATCAACTACAACGAGGATTCCGGCAATGAGGAAGGTTCCGGCGACAACCGTGAGCCCTTCACGTACAAGGCGGAACCGGAGGATTCCGATGACGACGAGAAGCAACGCCCGCTGAAGAAGGAGAAGACTACTCCTGAGATGCAGACCAAGCAGGAGGAGGAGGATGATGGTGAGTCTGACTACTTTTCTTGTTGCTCTGACGATGTCGACCTTTTGGATGAAGAAGATGCAGCATACGGGTGGGAAGGCAAAGGATATGACGTGCTAATGGATGTTGTTGGGAGGATAGAGGGAGAAGACAACTACAAGTATGAGGGTGAAATCTGAGCATCCCACATACAACCGATCAGCCACTGGGGCAGAGACAAATGACGCCAAATTGCGGAGGAAAATGGTGGTTCATGTTGATACAGTGCGGTGAAGAATCTGGATGGTGTTTGAGCACGGGGTTGGGGCTTTCATAGTGTGCTTTTGCGCTTTGCTCTGTTCCAGTCCATCGAAGGTACTATGTTCATGGCAGGTCTTTTTACTTTGGGCATCAGAACAGGCGTTGATGAGGTTTGGGCAGGTTGATGGTAATGGATGCTTGGACTGCGGAGCATAATGGGGTGAGGCGGAATGGAAAGCAGACGACGGGGTTTCGACAAACAACTGGGAAATAAAGTGCCTTGACTTACATTACATTATGTCCAGAAACTCCTTTGCTTTGATTCGTCGTTTTTTGTTGACGACTACCGTTCTTTGTCTGTTTGTTGACATTCGCTTCATGTTTGGAAAAGGGGCGGCAAGGCAATAACAAGGCTGGTGATGTGGATACATACCAGGTCGTCTGCCAGACTTGATAGCAAGCAATAAGTTGTCAGTCTCCCAGACCAAAAGCACGAAACCTTGTCACAATGATAAGAATCTGGAGTAACACGATGCTCATTTCGTTGCTTCCTATGCTGAGGAGTCAGATATTCCTCGAAATGTCGTGACATTGGTAAGGGTTAGGGTTGAGGAGCTGCAGTAGGAAGTTGGCGCACCATTCGGAACAGAAGGCTGTGCTGGAGCATTTGCTTGAATGGCTGACCAAAGGGAGCTCGTCTTCGTACTATCTGAGTGATTTATGAGCCTTGAGTGTGCCTGTTGAAACGTCATGTCTGTTTCCATAGCCTCTGTCAACCAACTGCTAGGAAGAGGCCGAGGCTGCCACGAATGACGAATACATACCACACTCCTGAGGCTACTTCCTCAATAGAGCTCTGAAAACTTGTGATTAGGACGGTGTCGACTGGGCAGGAATGATAGTGAAGATGGCAATCTGGATACTTGTCAAGCTTGCCGTGGGCAACGGTCTGGTCGTATGGCCACACCAAGGAGTACCAGCCACTTCCGTCCATATAGACGATACCAAAGAATGGTTTAGTTTAGTGCAACAGCAACAAATCAGAATAAGATGGATGTCGTCAGATAGCCATTGTGATGGAGATAAATACCATGGGTTTGGCGAAAGAATTGAGGTGGAGACGGTGGAGGGAAAATCAAACAAAGAGAAATCAAAGTTTTTGAAAGTTGTCCAAGTTGGCGTGGCAGGTGCAAGTGTAACATACACGTAAGAAAACGCACCTGCCCTATTGTTGCTCGGATTTCTCTATTGTGCCTGCCACCACACGGCAGGGCATTGACTGACGCCCAAGTCATCTGCCTGTCACTGTCACGGTCAGCCTCATTCAGTTACATTCACCTATTCACTTTACCTCTGGGCATTCACCGCAGACTGGTGCTACCCTTTGAGCTTCCTTTCCTTTCTCTACTGCAGGTAAAAAGCGAATCTGATTCTTCCTCCATCACCAACTCACCTCGCTCCATCCACTTGTTGGCTGTCAACTTTCCATTTTGGTAACTGCTCCTTGCCCCGCACCAATTGACGTGCGCTCTGTCTCCCAGTCAAAGTAGACGAATACTAACAATGTCACTCCGTAGACGCTCCAGTCCTTCTTTTGGCATCATCTTGCATCAATCGACCGCAAAATTCAATCAACAATTCTTCGGCCTGCTGATATTGATATCACAACATTGACCGTCATCACCGGGTTCTGGAAATCAGTGGAGGTCTCCGCTAGAAGTGGAAGCGACAGGAAGCGCCCGGGTGGTTGCAACATTCCCACCAATCGACATCCAGCGACCTCGCGGTTGCTCAGTGTCTCATGGGTGTTAGTGCGATACTGTACTTCACGGCGATATTCGCAGCAACATTGATAGCCGGCTATCAGTCTTTATGCGCTAAGGAACTTCCCAGTACAGTGCACAATTGGCATCCCGGATCCACGAGTGACTGGGGCCAACCACTCAAGATGGGCTCCGTGCATCACCGAGTGAGACGTGACGGGAATCGCGAGCAACATGGCACCTCTCCTGTTTTTGTGCCAGTTTCTGGTAACGGTACGCGTCTCTTTTCCTTCATTTTTCCTTTCTGTCCCCTACCCCTACCCCTCCATTCCTCCGCGAAATCCGACTTTCTCTGGACACACACCATATGGTTGTGGGCGTGATGCGACAGAGACATCTCAACAGAGATTTCATATTGGATTTACTACGTATTGGGCAGTCCAGTGAGAGGACTAGAAAATTCGCTGGCTCTATTCCGGGCCACTGCGGCGTCTGTCTGGCCAGTTCAAAAAAGACAAGTTGTTGCTGTTGTTGGACGCGGCAACCCGGTCCCCCTTTTCATTGCATAAGGACTCTCTATGTGTTGATATAGGGCTTTGGTTGGCATCACGCCTTTTGCTTCACAATGCCCAAAGGTCGCTGTCAGGGTTACCGTGGTGACCGCTTAGCTCTCATCGCCTGCCTCTGCCTTTATCTTTGAGGTTACCCTTGAGCTCACCTCTCTTTCACTTTGGGGGGGAAAAACAAGGGTTCTCACAATTAATCTTTTCTTTGGATGCTTGGTCATTCTTGTCATCGCCCTCATTTCTTCTACTCAGCTACAGTTTTATGCACCTGCTGAGCTTGTCATATTCCAACAAGACACAGAGCCGTGCTTTTGGGTGTACAGCTTCCTGCTTCAGACATATACAGTAGTGATTGTACAAAGCCCTCAAGTTCCCCCTCACAGACTCCCTGCACTCAAGATTTATCATCTCTCCCACATGTTGTATGTTTCTAACCTTTCTTCGCAGCTATGACATCGAGGTGTCGGCGATACCGCCAGTTACCCTTCTTGCATCGGAACTGGATTCACGCTACCAACTACTGGGAAGATAGAATGGGCAACAAGCCCTCCACCCAGTCTCGGGTGCCTGCTCCTGAGTCCGACGTCAGGTTTACCGATCACAGTCACAAGCCCGATCAAGACCGAGACGACACATGCCAGCATCCAGCAAAACGTCGACGCCTCAATGACAATCATGGCTTTCCCTTATACGAGGATCCAAACGGCAACACCCCACGCTGCCTGCGGATTGAGGTCCTCAAGATTATTCACAAAGATTCACCCCGCATCAAAAATGGCGTGCCTAACGGCATCGTGGCACCCAATGTGAGGGATACCGCCAACATGCGGGCGCGTTGCAAATTGAGCATCTATGGTCATAATGGGGATGAAAAGGTTCTCTTGCACGTCGACAGCCAGTTATGCGAGCTCAAGGTTTACAGGAACCCTGCCGCCGCATCCACACACATGGCTCGACTGTATGCTATCAAAGCTTTCGATATTCCAGAAGACAAAATATACATGGAGCGGGATGGTGATGATCCCGCCTTTGGCTTTGCCGATTCCTACAGTGTCCTAATCGAAATCGAGTCAGCCGGAGATCCAAACTGGCCACCCAGCAGCTTAATGCCGGCCAAGATGGAGGATCCCTTGGTCCGTAACCTACCACCGCGCCAGTGGGCCCTTTACGCTCAGCTTCCTGATATTTTCCACACTCGCAACAGGAAGACGGCGAGGTTGAAGGCAAGGATACAACAGAGCCGAGAGACGCCTACGGATTTCGCCATGGACATTGATGTGCGCTGGCAAACGAGCATATCAAGCCAACTAACAGGGAACCAGAAGCCCAAGGAGATCATGCCCTCTATTACAGTAATTGACCCTTGGGCCCCTAAGAAGCCCCTGTCAGAACTGCCAGTAAATGGTACAAACGGAGTTAAGGGTATCAACGGGCATCATCATGACCCAAACACTAGTAACGAGATCAAAAAGACCGGAAATTGGGAAGTTAACAGCACTTCGCTTGCTGATACCGAAGAACTGGCCGAGGGTGACCTGACGCCCAACCGATCTAGGCGCCACAGGACTGAAGTCAATTACAACGTAAGGCAACTATGGAACACCGCCGTAGGGAAGGAGCCACGGAAACGGCGAAGAGCCGACGACGAACATCCTATACTAGACGAGCACACTGTCACCTACGTTTTGCCGCCTGAAACGCCTGGAAACGAGGAGAAGTTGCAGGCCACCTGCAACAAGCTCTCTTGTCTAATATGCGCAGCTGAGCACGACCGCATCAGCCAGCTCCGCGCTCACTTCTCATGCCACCCCGAATATGAGTTCAGTTTTGAGCAGAAGAAGGGCATGTACTTGGTGGCAATCCATAGGGCCCCTGGATACATATCGACTACCATGCCTCCCTTGGAAGCGAGCAAATTATTTTCCCTCGGCCTTCCTGTAAAACCCCTTGACCTCTCCAAATTTGTCAACGGCGACGACTCCTGGGTTAAATCCCGTCTCTTACCCGATCCCAATGACTGTGAAAGGCCAAATCTCCCAGCCAGCCGAAGCCCAACCAAGGGGCCACAGCAGCAGCAACAGCAACAGCAGCGGCAGCAAAAGGAAAAATGCCTTTCCACCACCTCCACATCCACCCGCAGCCGCGCCGCCGCCGCCGCCGTCAAACCCCAAAAGAAACCCGTCTACATACCCCACAACATCAACCGCCCCATCTACGACCCCCTCTCCAAAGTCGAACTCGCTCCCGGCTCCGAGGTCCGCTACCCGCCCCTGGACGAAGGCTGGCTGATCACCAAGCACGCCGACGCCCTGGGCGAGTTCTCGGACGTCGAGCCTCAGGAAAAGGAGTACATGATGCAGTGGGACGCCTACATCCTGCAGAAACACCTGTGCTCGGAGCAGTACCTGCCTAGAGAGTTTCGCAACTTTGTCAGGGAGAAAGCGACATGGCTGCTGGAGAAGAGGAGTCGGGCGGAGGAACTGGGGAAGCATATGGCGGTGTTATTGGCGAGGAGGTACGTGGATGATGCGACGGTGATGGCGGTGACGAAGGAGTTGAATGAGGCCAGGAAGGCCATGGCTGCTGCTGAGGGTGCGAATGGTCCTGGTGCTGGGGATGGGGGGCAGGCAAGCAAGGAATTTGAAGTACAGGAGCAACAGCAGCAGCAGCAGCAGCAGCAGCAGTCAAGTGGTAGGAAGAAGAGTGCGGCGGGAGGTTGTGCGAGGTGTGGAGAGGTGGTGCCGCAGCCGGAAATGGTGATTTGTTGCAATAAGGTGAGTTTTTCGTTTTTTCTTTTTTTGACTCTTTCTTCTCTTCCATCTAAACAGTCGGAACCCGAGTAACTGACATGAGAAAAAAAAAACAGCACTGCAAACAGCGTATCTATCACAGTCGATGCGTGCCAAACCCGGAGGAGGCGCTCCAACTCGTCAGGAAGCGAAAGTGGAAGTGCTTCAAGTGCGAAGCAGTGGGCCATTAGAAGTGGCAGCAGCCCAAAGTTGAAGCCAAAGTTGATGATGTTAAGGTCGAAGTGGGAAGAAGGTGCTACAGCAAACCTTCACAAGGACTACTGCAAGGTCGATGGAGAGATACCCAGAGGTAGAAGGCAGGAAGATCGATGAAACGGGGGGTTAGGATATATGCATGTTTGCTTGTTACCTTGCATACAGCCTGGAGTTCGGTAGGTAGGGTCGAAAACAAAGAGCATACATACATACTGGCTAGAAGGAGGTCTTGAAACGACGAATTATTTGCTGAACTTGAGGTGCCTAGGTGTCTAGCTACCCAAAGACGGAATAAATTCCGTGCAATTTACGACCGTTCACTTGGTAGATACTTAGTTAATTAGTTGCATTAAGTGCCTGAGCAACCTAGTGGTAGCTATAGAATTCAAAATCAAAACTGACAATGACTGAAGCGGAAAGTACGGTAACTCTGATAGGTATATGCTCAAGATGCCACGATCCTCACTTCACTGAATTCGTTACAAAATGCACAACAACATCACCGGTCACCTCTCAGCTGTTTTTAGTCCAGATTGTTCGTACGGCTATAAATAAAGTTGATGAGGACAGTTGGTACCTACCCAGTTCACAAAAAAATTAGGAAGACCACCTACCTACCTACTTACACAGATGCCACATTTTGCGGATATATGGTCCAAATAACAGCCATCTAGAGGTATCAATAGCTTTACTTGCTCCGGCATACTAACGAAAATCAACAATACAGTATGGCGAGAGTGACGAGCGATATGGAACCTACCTACTGTTGAAAACGAGCAGATCGGACTATATCACTGGGTGCTAAATCCACTCGCCCAAGTTGCTACTGTTGATGACATAGCCGCGAGTTGCGGTTGTCTCGCCTCTTAATGTGTTCAACACGGGAAGCACCAGGAGGCCAATCCATCGTTCTTGTTCATACTGTTGTGTTCACGTTCAATATGAAAGGAATCTTGTTGTTTAGGTAGTTATCACTTTTATAGCAGACAGACGGGCAGTCATAATGTCACGCTGGAGAGAACAAAAACACTTTCTATTCCATTCCATAATCCCATTCCAATCTATGAGAAAGACCCAAATAAGCCCTATGAACAATGAATGCGAAACAGATAAGAAAGTCCACCATGTATGTACTATGCCGGTGAACCTAGAGGTATATACCATCAGCCATAGATAGCCATGACATGCATATCATACCATTTCCACCAAAAAACAACTTGAAAGCTGTGAAAGCTGACAACTAAACTACCTACTATACTACAAGTAACGTAGTAACCCAAACTCCGCAAAGATATCACACTATACTATACAATCCATCACCACTTCCTCCAGCCTCTGATCTAAACAGCAACCTTCACCCCTTTCTTTCCCTCCTCCTCCTCATCAACAACTACCTTTCTTACCCTTGCCTCCTCCGTTCCGCCCCTTCCCGTACCCGCCACTTCAAACCCAATCCCCCTCCTTGCCTTCCTTCTCGCCGCCTTGCCCCCGGCATCCCCATACTGCTCATCAAACTTGCGAATGGCCTTCAAGCTCTCCATATCCTCGCTGATACTCGCACTAATCTCCCGCATACCCTTTTCAAAGTGTTTCCTCGTCAGGACTCTCCGTTCCGGGAACTCGTACGCGGCGGAGGGGCGGCCTTCCTTTTCCTTCTCCTCCGAATGCGCCGCCGCCGCATCATGCGCTTCCTTGGCTCTACACTCCTCCCTTACTGCCTCCATCGCAGCCGAGACACACAAGTTCTTGAGGTCCGAGCCAGAGTAGAGATCAGTTTCCTTTGCTAGCGCGTCCAAGTCTACGTCGGGAGCAAGTTGTTCCTCGCGAAGCATCACTTTGAGAATCTTGGCGCGCTCAGCTACAAGCGGCAAGTCGACGAGGATCTTCCGCGGAAGACGACGGAGCACGGCCTCGTCGAGATCAAAGGGCCGGTTGGTGGCGACCATGATGAAGGCGCGCATGTCGGAGAGGCCGTCCCACTCGCGCAAGAACTGCGTGATGGTTTCGCGGTGGGCGGTGCGGCCGGGGTTGTTGTGGCGGGCGCCGAGGAGCGCGTCGGCCTCGTCGAGGAAGATCACCATGGGCGAGAGCTTGCGGGCCAAGGAGAAGAGGGCGCGCACGTTCTTCTCGGATTGGCCGAGCCACATGTCGTTGATGGAGGCGGCGGAGACCTCGAGCATGTTGGCGCCGGATTCTTTGGCGACTGCTTTTGCTAATAAGGTCTTGCCGGTTCCGGGGGGCCCGTAGAGCAGGCAGCCGGGGATGCGCTCGGTTTTGAGCACGCCGTAGGCAAAGGCGTCGGGACGTTGGAGGGAGAGGGAGGTGAGACCGATGAGAGACTCTTTGGTCTCGGCGGGGACGATGATGTCGTCAAAGGTGGTGTGGATGTCCTTGGCGTTCACGAGACCGGCCAGAAGCTTCTTCTCATGCTGGTCGTAGTCCTTGTTGTCGCTGGCGGTTTGGCTTTGGCTGGCCCACGAGGAAGAAAAGCCCGAGGTGGGTGAGTCGCCACCCTCTGGCATGTGTTGGTCAAATATGTTGCTTGCGCCACCCTTTTGACGGAAGAGTGGGGAGAAGTAAGGAGGACGGATGCCCGAGTAGATGCCCTTCCAGTGGTTGTCGCGATCGCTCATGAAGGCGAGTGCGTACTTGAGGTGGCCGAGACCGTACTTCTTGGGAGGCGGTGATCGACTGCCCAGCAAGAGGGAGGTTAAGCGGTACACCCATTGGGCGTCAAACACATGTTTCGACAAGGTTTGGAACAGATCGGTGTATCTTTCGTCTACAAGGACCTGGTCATCTTCAAACTTGATTTGCGCATCAAAGTCAATAGCGGCTGGGGTGGGCAGTCTTGCTTCCAGCATGCTCTTGATGTTGTTGATGTTGTCGTAGAGGTTGTCCTTCCTGTCCATCCACTCGGTAGACGGGGAAGCGTGGAAGGGGATGATGTGATGGCCCTCACGGCCGAGCTCGACCAGCTGATTGCGCCAGTGCTGCGACTTGTCCATGTCACTAGATGAAGAGCCTACCAGCACAATCTTCTTTCCGTCGTGCGCCGCCTCCTCGAAATGCCAGTCATGGACAATGTCTCGTAACCTGGTAATCAAACTTTCTTGCAGTTCACTGAGTTCTACATAGTCGTGCAGATGGATGATCAGATCACGCTTCTCATATGTACCCGTCTGGGCAAACCGCTTGGCATCAGCCGCCCTCACGATCGCCTTGAGCGTATTTTGTATCTTGAGTCCTTCCCAGCGTGGGTCGACAGAACGCGAGCTTCCAAAGTCCTTGCCGGAGCTGAGGAGGGACCGCAGCTTGGACGGCATCGACACATGCAGGACACCCACATCGCCATCCGAGTCAGCATCATCCCGGTTAACCAGTCTTCCGTTCATCTCGGAAGCGGCGTATCCCAACATGGAAACCGAGCCCCGAGCGTGATGGATGTTCTGCTGTAACTGGGTTCCCAGAAGTCGGGCCAAGCTAAACGCATCCAGGTGTATTACGTCCGCCTTGAGGTCAGTGGCAATGTCATCAATGACATGGTTGGCGACACTACGACCCCTGCGGTTCACCACCGAGAGAACTGTCGTGAGCCGGTGGTAGTCTGGCGGCTTAGTACCGTGCGGCACGTCCGCGACCAGCTCGGCACGTATAGCGGCCAGAAGCTCCATGCAGACTGGATACTCGGGATCCGGCCTGCTGGCCAAAGGGCTGCCGTGTAGCGCGCCAGAGCCAGGTTGGGCTTCGCATCGAAGATTTGCCAGCCAGCGCTGGGCCTCTCCGGACAGCGGCTTATCCGACCACCACAACAACCGAACAATGTCATCCTCCCTGGAAGAGTGGTGCTTGCGCAGCAACTCGATATGCTCCGGGTTCGCGCCCGTCTGGTGGACGATAGCCAGCGCCTGTAGGAACGCGGTGCTGTGTGCCGCATGTGCTTTCTTAAGCAGCTGGCTAGAGGACTCGGGTAGTTGCTCAAAGGCAGCTTCGCGCTCCTCCTCGGGCAGCCGTACCAACTCGTCCAACATGCTTGTCCACATCTTGACGTCCTCCTCTGTCACCTGGACCTTGGCGAACTTCTTCTCCAGCAGCTCCAGCACGGCCTCGCGGTCGACGTCTTCGAGCGGGAACAGCAAGGTCTGGGGTGCGCCGATGGGTCGCGCTTCGTACAGCGACACGTTGTGGTCGATGAACCATGGGTCTAGCTTCACCCAGGGCGTGCTTGGGGTGCTGCTGGCTTGTGGGGCGACATTGTTCTCGATGTTGACGGCGCCCATCCTGCCGGGCCGATGACGTCCCCGGGTTCCCTTGAGCGTGAGAGCTTCCTTGTAGGCATCGGCGGCCGCCTTTGATTCTGCATCCTTCTTGTCGGCAGAAGCTTCCTCCTGGCTAGACGAAGTGGTGGTCGTGGTAGAAGCTGGCTTGTCATGTGTTGTTTTATCTTCGTCTTCGGGCTTCTTATGATCGGCAGGGTTCGAGTTCGAGTCGGGGTCGTTTTTGAGGGAGGCGGCAGAGGTACGGAAACCTCTCAGGGACTGGTGGCCGGCATGCTGGCGACGGGATAGGGAGCCGGAAGCGGAAGCGGCAACGGAGACGGCGCGGGGCAGTCGGCGACAACATGAGGATTGCGCCGACAGCAGGGCTCGAGCCCCGGCAACAGGCATTGGGACGTATCAGTTGGGGTAGTTGGCGACTCTCATAGGTGTAAATGTGTGTCGAGACGCGTGTTGCAGTTGAAATACATGTGATTGCGTCACCAGGCAGTGGAAGTGGAGGGTAAGTAGAAGGCGGTTGAAGGTTGACGGGGAGCTTATCGTGGATTGTGGTGGTGGGATGGTGAATAGGTGCTTCTAGTGCTTCCGCTTCCATCTGGAGCTGGTGTTGCCGTGTACGTGATGTGTAATAGAGGATTTCCACGCCTGTTATCAATTGCCTGCCGGCAAAATGTCCTGTTAGTCAGCCACTGTCCCCGCTAAAGTCCACTGAAGAATCCCTGGCAGCCGCCTGTCAGAACATCACCATGGACCGACATATCACGACTCCCGTCTTAACAGCATGGTTTTCGAATCTGGAGATGAGAATTTTTAGTTTATGATTCTTCTAGTACCTTTTCACTATCCAATTGTCGCTTGATGCCAGCATATCCGTGTTCTCCATTGCGAATCCATCTCATAGACAGTCCACGCGAATGGTTTTTGGAGCCGTCATGACAACCTCAACGCCCTTTGTCTAGACTAAAACATAAACATTTCGTCATCCCACAATCTCCTTCTCTCCATCCGGTAACCACGTCTATCATCAGAGCCTTCACCCAGCCTCCATTCCCCAAGCCGGGCATACAGATCCCACAGCAGCTCCTCTCTGTCCCTAACTGTGTAGCCCGTCCCCTGGCTTCTAGCAGGAGTGGCACCAGTGGTAGACTGCGTGCTTGATGATAAACGCTGCTGCTGCCCAGGAACTCTCGTGGAACCACCGGCAGCAGTGAACCGTGTAGTGACCCGACCATCGGATATCATCCAGTTGTTCGACATATCTTTGACGATAGCAGTGACATGGCCCTGCATACGTGGATTGACCCTCGCCTGCTGGGAGGAAGGTGTAGGAGGTAGTCCCTCCAAAAGACATTCGACTCGAATAAATCCGGTCAAGGCCTCCACACCAGGGCGTTCTGCAACATCAGCCCAATCCTCCGTTTCCGAGAAAAGGAACCGTCGGATACACGCCCTCGCTCCATCAAACAACTTGGATACCACCTCCACCATGTCCACCAACACCTTCACCTTCTCCTCTCTTTGTGCCGTCTGTTCCTTCTTCTTGTTACTCCCAAGAGTAATCACCGCCGGGATGATACTCGGTTGCAAAGCGACACACAACCCCACCAGTTGATTCAACAGCGCCAAATCCCTCCTCTTCACCTCCTCCGTTCCCCTCTCTCTCTTCCTCCACATCTCCTCACACCACCACACCACGCTCCTCAACACCTCAACGACATGCACCTCCACATCCTCCCCCCTCAACTCCCTCGGCACACAACTCCTCGTCAACACCCCGACCACCGCCCCAGCATAACACTCCAGCAAGACCGACCCAAACTCGCCCTCTCCATCTTGTTCATCTACCCTGCCCGCAACCTGCACAACAACAGGCAGCATCACCTCCAGCATGAACGTCATGAACTCCTTCCCGCCCGTCACTTTATCATCCCCCAATGCCCGCTCCAGGATTCCTCTCTCCTCCTTCAGCCCATCGTTAGCCAGCGCCACTTTGAAGTTGTTGAACAAGTACCAAAACAGCTGCGACGCCGCAGGCACGTCCTTCTCCGACAGGCGGACGCCGTAGGCCATGATCCCCGCCGTGTGTAGTTGTGGGTCTTGCAAGGGTGGGGAGTACGAGTCGGAGGGAGTGAGGAAGAAGGAGTCGACGACGACGATGCCGACGCCGTGCGATTTGATGAGCGAGATGAGCCCGTGAGTGAAAGCCATGTAGTCTTTGTGTTCTTCTGTGGAGGAGGCTGTGGGGTCTGAGAGGGCGAGGGAGCGGAGGAGAAAAAGGTCTTTCCTGATGTTGGTCATGGCTAGTTGGAGCGTGTGGGAGAATTCTTCTCTTTGGCGGCGGATAGACTGGGCGGATGATGATCCTGCTGTAGATGCCGATGAAGTGGCGCATGGCGCGGGTGTAGTCGCTCCGCCGCGGAGAGCCTTACGCATATAGTGGATCGCGCGGGAGAAGAGATCTAAATGGATGTTGTAGTCTGGTGTCATGCCGGCTGAGACGTCTGCCTCTGCGAGAAAAGGGAGGCCGCGCTGCTGAAGGACTTCGGCTAGGTAGGTCTCATAGCCGAGGAAGCGCATGGGCTTGATGATGCACTGGACCCAGAGGGAGAGGATGTTCGTTTCAATGTCTTTAAAGTCGAAGACGTTCTTATTGACAAGTGTGGCGATGAAGAGGGGGAGCCATCTCCTCTCTGGACCGCTCATGTTTTTGGGGATGTCGGGGAAGAGCCCATATTTACCGGGTTGGAAATAGGGCAACACCTGGGTGACTCGCTCCTGGATGAATCGGGCAGCTAGTTTGGCAGCCAGCGTCACCGTCTTCTCGGTACATGCGACCTGCTCGGTTTGCCTACCAAAGGTTGTGAATGCCTTGAGTGGCAAGGCAAGTAATTCCCTAGCCATCCAAAAGAACTCTTTAGTGAGCTTCTCCTGAAGCAGCAAAATGGCATCCTCCAACTGACGCGGGTCAATATCCGCACTGGACTCATTGCTCGAGTACTGCTCCTCGGAAGACTTTTCAATCCAGCCCAGGAAGTGCGCGTGAGTATCGAGTGCCACATTGAGAATACCCCAATCAAATCCCGGAGAGCCAAAGTGCAGGGTAGTACACATCTTTTGCAGCTGGGTGACGTTTAGCGTGTAGATGGCTGCCTCAAGAGTCTTTGCCTGCTTGAGCACATCCAGAGATGCTCTGGCTGAGGTGTGAAGAATGTCCAGGGCCGTCGCTTTATTTTTGGTAATCAGTTCTTCCCGCCATGCTGCATCAATACTCCGCATATTCTCCGCAGACAGCGCCCTGAACTGCTGCTCGATATCGGACTCCGCAGACATATACTGGTCTAGGATCTGGTTGAACACGTTGTTCCTCCATGTGATAAACGGCCTGAACGCAGCGCCACCCTCTCCATTAGCTACGACGAGGCGAGCGAGCTGACTCCAGGCTCGGATATTGATCAAGCAAGCCTCCTTGTGAGCATTGCTAGGGGTTATTAGTCGCTCGATCAGGTCAACGCGCGGCCTAAGATCCGGCGGGGCAGCCCAGTACAGCGTGCAGAGGAGATCATGATGGTTTCTCAAGGCTGCAAGATCACGTTCATGTATTGTGTCCTCTTTGAGGTATTGTCGGTCATGGTTGGGAAGTGTCCTTGTGACAAGGTTTCGGATATCCTTTGTCCGCCCAAGTTGCCTTAGGTGTTGAATGGCGAGAGCCAACAGTTTAATGAAGATGTGGAAGCAACGGTCTTCGGGCTCAATGGCCAGAGAAGGATTGTTAGCGAGCTCTTCCAGGAAGCGGGGAGACTTGTAGACCTGTTCATTCCTCAGATGGCAGAGATTTTGCGAGCCGAAAAAATCAAAGATGGTACCGATAATTCCAGTACATCTGCGCCAACCCCATTGTTGAACCAGGAAGTAGCAGCGGCCGATCAAAGCCCGGCAATACTCGTTGAAACTAGGTGACTGGCGCTGATTGGACTTGTACAGCTCGAACACGCGCTTCATAAGCTTTTGAGGAAGTGTCCAGCCCTCCAAAGGAACGGTGTTTCTCAACCCTGGAAGCAGTATACCCATCTGGTCGATTTCGCCCAGAGGCAACAGGGTGAACATGTCCTGCCAGAGGCGCTCAAACACCTGGGCATCCGAGCCGGACACGATCTCAGGCGTGAGCATGGCTGAGTGGACAACATCCCAGAACGTACTCCGCGGAATACCGGCGCTTTCTAGGGTTTGCATAAGAACGACCCAGCATACAGCGAGCACCTGATTCGGCCTAATACCGCGTTCTCGGAACGAAGGACGCTGTAGCTCTCCATAGAGAGTTCTAACATCCTCAAGTCCACAGCTCAGCGCTCCAGTGATAGCAATTCTACAAAGCTTAGTAAGAAGCCCTTCAAGCTTCATGCTTTGTATGGGGTCGTCGCCAGACGACTGTGCCATCATGTATACTGGGAGCATTGCTAGGGACAAGCGGGTAGCTATATCCAGAGCCGTCTTTTTGGTTTGCTCACGCAATGGCCGCCAGTCAAGCGCTTCGAACCGGCCAACAAAGCTCGCCATGACCTCCAACCACCTGGACAAGAATGCCTTTTCTCCGATGTCATCCTGAACCCGAAGTGCATCAAGGACATACTCCAGAAGATAGTTAGCTGCATCAGTGGCTTGTCGACCTGCGAATTCCGCATCATCCTTACTTCCGGCTTCGAGCTGCTCCGCCACCCAGTCGACAAGTATACCAAGCTCTGACGAAACTTGATCATCCCACACACCCCAGTTTAGAGACTGCCCTTGAAAGAGAAAAGACACGGCTGGCCTTGGTCGACGAATCTTCTCTGAAAACCCGGGCTCGACTGCCTTCTTAACATAGCCACGTCCAATGGTGGTGCTTTCATGGAAGAATGTACCATGATCAAGGGGGAACACCTCAAAGTGGTGAGTATATTGTGTGCCATACGGCCCCAGCCCATTGAGTTTGTCAACGTCCTTTTGCTTGGCCTGCTCCTCAACTACGGCAAACGCGGTAGGCAACGGGTCATCTGCTCGAGTGTACTGCGGTGCTTCAACATCGACATGCTGAGGCGCTCGTCTCTTGCGATAACGGGACTTGTCGTTTGCGGCCTTGATCTTAGGAACAGCTGGTGCCACCTCGGTGACAGAATCGACCTGCCCTTCCAAAGCGAATGGTTCTGGCGATGCTGCTCTGCCATTGTCAAGGATAGGCTGCAAGCGATCAAGGCTCGGTGCGCTCTGGGCTTTTCGGGTTTGCCTAAATAGAGCATCAAGGGATCGCTTCTTGTTCTTAAGCCGTTTCTGCGGATCCTCGTATATGCTCGTTTCCAGCTGTGCTTGTCGTATGACCGGACCGCGTTCATGAATTGTAGTTCGTGATGGCTGTCTGGACATTGACCCAGGCCCATCGACGTTGTTTGTCACGGGTTTCCCCACGCTGGCTTTCTTGACAACCAGCTTTCGTGGAAGAAGTGAGGAAGGCAGCAGTTGAGTCGATGAAGGTTGGCGCTCCACATTGTTGGATACCTCCCCAAGGACTGCTCTAGTAGACTTCGACGCGGGTTTCTTCCTTGGCGGCGCCGCAACTCGCGGCCGTGTCTTGCCAGATTTCCAGTCCCGAAGAGTAGAGAGTGCATCAATGTTATCTTGTCGGTTACCGAATCGGATAGCCTTTTTGGTCGGACTGCTCTTTCCCAAATCCGACCTCTTCTTGACTGAGCGGGCTGCGATCTTGAGGAACTTTGGAGCATTAGGTTCAATGACGTCCAAGATACTGAGAAGTGGCGGAGTTGCTGCTCTCTTTCTGGAGCTTGGTTTCGTAGAGGTACCAGCCCTGGGTTTGCGGTAGGTTTTCACTGTGCCCTTGGCCGGCGGCAATGAGCCAGAGCCACTCTTTGACCTAGAGAATGACTGAGTTATCTTTGGTTGTCGAGTGGCTTTACTACTACTCTTTGGCTTCTTTGCTCCCCGTGACAGACTGGGAGAACCGGCCCTCTTCCTTCGTCCAGCTAACATAGCATCGATGGAGTCCTCTTCGATCATGAAGCCGTCATCGTCATCCTCTAGAGTTATGACGTGACGAGTAGGTCGTGTAGGGCTAGATCGACTAATTGGCGGTCTGTTTTGGGCTTGAGTTGCCTCTTCTTCCGATTCACCGGCCAAGTCAAACGGGAACTGGGTCGCAGACAGTCTTTTTGGGGATGTTTGTTTTGGCAAAGCAACTCCTTTTCGATTGAGTCGATCTATTGGGAGGTCATGATCCTTTCTGGTATTGTGGCGAGCAGTGGGCCCATCTTTCTTCTGGTCCAGTCGCAGCCATGATGCTGGCAGTACACCACGAATTTTTCGACTAGTCTCGCGAATCACATCCGATTCACTGTCTGAGTGATGTGACGAAGCCAAAGATTCCATATCACTCCCTTCATGCGCAGGACTGTCGCTATCATCTCTGATAAAGATGGGTGATCCGACCGGTTCTTGACGTGATTCGATGGGCTGTACAGGTTCTGCATGAGAGGCCGAAGGGGATCTTGTCAGCCTCCGAAGGTCCGGCCGTTGCGCAAGCCCCAAATCCTGTGATGACTCGACAGGCGCCCGTGGCGTAGTTGGAGACGGTGAGAGGTCCCATATCGATGCTGGCGGTATCCTGAAACGTCCAATTGGAGAAGCAGTTAGTGAGGACTTGGATGCAGTCCGCTGTTTCTTGCGCTGCGCTGACAGAAGAGTCGAGGCTTGTCGCTTGAGGGGTTTTTTATATGCCTCGGAAGGTCTGGATAGGAGACTGTCTAAATCGGGGAACTCTTCCGCATCGGATAGGGCCGTAATGTCCGTCTGGTTACCACTATTTAACACGCTACTAGCACGTAAATGGCGAGCGGGGGACGACGTCTTTAGCGGCGAAGGCGATAGGGCTAACTCATCATCGTCATCCCAAAGAATTGGCCCGCTCTCTTCTGTGACCTGTGTAGGCTCACCGCGAGTTGTCTCTTGGCTCTCTTCACCAACGAAATCCTGCTCTTGCGAGTCCTCTTCATGAACCTTCCTTTTACGTTGAGAATCTTCCAAGACCACCTTGATAGGTTTGATGCCATGCAACTTCATAACTTTTGCGTACCGAACATTTTCCAGGAGATATGGATGTTGTTGGATAGGCTTCCGGGGGCGGAGCGAGCGTCGTCCTGTCCTCTGAGCACCATCTTCTATATCATCCAGCGTAGAACCATCACTTCGGGGCTGATCGGATCTAGCTTGCGAGACTTGGCGTGGTCTGTGTGAAATCGTACCGTCTAAGGAGGGTGACGAAGGGGTTGGAGTAGGATCCTCCCTGACTGGACTCTTGGATATATCTTCCTTCACGTATGCTTCCCTTCCAGGAATCGTCTGCGGGATCCTAACCTCCAGAACCGGCAAGTCGGTGTTTGTCGCATCTTGGGATTGAGATAGAGAGGATAAAGACCAAATGTCGCTTTTCGCAGGAGACAACGGGGAGTCTTCCGAATCATCGGGCTTTTCGCTTGGTACAGGGCTCGCTTTGCGCGGAGGTTCGTTCACGGGTTGAGGAGCTGGAGTTGGCTTGGCCGAGTTTCGTGTAATTGGAGAGCTTGGGATATCCCATATATCGTCTACAGCCGGCTTTGGCTTCTCCGAATGTTGAGGCTCGTCCTGGGGCGCTTGTAGGATGTCGACATCTTCCGTCGCAGGGCTTTTCTCCCCTTCGCTTGGCGAATTATCATGTTCCTTCCCACCGTTTCGAGCGGAACTGACAACTGCGCTTTCGGGAAGCTTGATGCTTGGCGACTCGGCCTCGGTAATGATTTGGTCTAGATTGTCGATATCGATATCATCGTCGTCGAAGCTGCTGTCGTCGTCCTCGTCCGAACCCGGCACTTCGCCCAATTCCCTCCAATTCTTCATGACTTTTGCTGTTCATGTCGTCGAGGACATTCTTTTGCCCTTCGTATCTTGTTCGAAAGGCAACTCGGCGTGGGCCGTTGACATGGAAACCTGAATGTAGGAGGCGAATGGCTGGTCGTCCGGGCAGGCAACGTGCAGTGCTTTCAAGGTTGAGACGCGTCCACAAACACTGGGAGACGCGCCGTCGGAGAGAATGTGGTCTGTGCGCTAGCTGTGTTTAATGATTTCCAATTGCCTCCGCGTCATTGCTTGCATGCACTGGACCGGGGTTAAACAGACAGTGCACATGGCATCCGGCCGGGCGGCGGGATGGAGCTGCCGTGTGCAGATTGTGCTACAGTACTGTACGGTACTGTACCGCTGTTGCCGTTTACAGGGACGGACCCAACGAAACGCTGAAGTGTTCTCGAACTGAGTGAAGGTCCAGATCGAATAGATCGAAGCTGATATTCAATCCGGTCAACTGAGTGGCGATCATCAACCAAGACATAAAAGTCAACAACAACAGCAACAAAAAGTCAAGATGCTCAACGGTAAAAAGATCATCACCATTGGTTTGGTAGTAACCTTTGGCATCGTGAATGGTCCGGGCTCTTTGATTGCATGTACTTGTGATTGGAAGAATGAAATCTGACATCTTTGCAGGATACTACACATTTGCCCCCAGTCTCCGGGCGGAGAAGGAGAAGCGTGAAGGCCTAAACCTTGGGTGAGAAGATGAGCTTGAAACAATCAAGTGCTGTTAAGACTGGATAGACTAACATAACACCAGTCCCCCGGCCAAGCCCTCTCCATATGAGATTAGGAAGCAAGAGTGGGAGAAAAGAGAATGAGATATAGGATGCTAGCAAGGAGTCGAGTAACAACTAGGTATCGTGATCATACCATCGACCAAGGCATGAGTTATATATATTTAAAGGGATATGTCGGTCCATAGTTGTCCCTCTTTTTGTTTACTCCGAACTCATGACAGCAGTTCGTTTGAGACGAAGCATCCAAGGCTTCATTCCCGTTCTGCCGAGTTTACTGTACTCATTGCGAATAACATGAAATATATCTCTGCAAGGCTTTAATCTGTTTAAAGACCCTGTCGTGTCTCCCACTCCGGACAAGCAAACAATAAACTTTGTGAGACATTGACGATGTTGAAGGGCAACGTCACGTCTGGCATGTGAGTTCCGTTTTTCAGCTGCCAGAATCGAATCTTCGTCATCCAAAAGTCAACAATGAACAATGGACACTCGGCCCAAGGACAAAACGTCCATGGTGTGGAAACTTGAGACGGTCCGTGCCAGCTGTCAAGAGTGTGGAATTGCCAGGTGAGGGGCTCCGTTTCTGAGCGCCAGACACGCAAAAGCTGCCCGTCCACCACTTGCCAGGCGGCCCTGGTCAGCCTGCCGTGAGTTGGCCCCCGGGAAGATACGGGGCCCCAAGCTAAACTGTGACAGTCTCATAGCGCTCTGGTTTGGGGGTGTTTTCACTGGCGGGCACTGCGTTCGGGGTGAGGAAAGTGGGCATCAGGCCATCCCAGGCATTCCTCGAGTTCCGAGCTGAGGCCGCATCCCCGTTTCGCCTACCTGCGAATCCCGTTCGCCCAAAAAAAAGCTCGTCCTTTGCATGACTTCACTCCTCGCACAAAATCACCGTCGACGATCGAGCTCCAGGCCTCCGACCACGCACGCGGGCGACTCAATTGGATCCATCTCCACCCCCGACTTCGAATCCTCCTCGACTTCCTAATCTCTGTCAGCCGACAAACCGCCGCCACCATGCTTCGCACTCCTACCGTCTCGGCCCTCGTGCGCAACGTCGCCGTTCGCGCCGCCAAGCCCACCATGGCCGTCCGCGCCGCTTCCACCATGCCCATCTCCAACCCCACGCTCGCCAACATTGAGAAGAGATGGGAGCAGATGCCCATGCAGGAGCAGGCCGAGCTCTGGATGGCTCTCCGCGACCGCATGAAGGGCAACTGGGCCGACCTTACCCTCCAGGAGAAGAAGGCTGGTAAGTGAGAAGTGGAAGGTTGAAGGTTGGCGAAATGCCGGGTGGAGCTCGACCGTCCAAGCTCCGAGCTAGTTGCATCACCAACGCCCGCCTTGAAGCTCCCCCCCGTCACCCTCACTCTGCGACAACCCCGAGCTTCAAACAAGCTTCACGAGCTCCAGGACAGCTTTGGGATCGTTGGGCGGAAATGGATTTTGCCGGCCTAGAGGTGATCGGTTGATTGATGTGTTGTTGGGGGAAGCTGGGATAAGGCTGAGGGAGTAATGGTGCGCTACATTGGAGGAGAAGAGGAGGGAAGCTCCGACGACAAACCGCACCATGACAGCCATCAAGGTCGTCTCAAGAGACACGCAGGCCCAGACCACAGAAAGACTGACATGTACTCTCTCTCAACGCAGCCTACTACATCGCCTTCGGTCCCCACGGCCCCCGCGCTCTCCCCCCTCCCGGCGAGCAGAAGAAGGTCTTGGCCTACACTGTCGCTGGTGTCTTCCTCTCTTTCGTCATCTTCGCTACCATGCGCGCCTTCGCCAAGCCCCCTCCTGCTACCATGACCAAGGAGTGGCAAGAGGCTACCAACGAGTTCCTTAAGGTGCGTCGGCTCATATCGGCTCTTTGTTGGAAAACAGATCAACTAACGCATATATCACCAACAAACAGGCCCAGAAGTCCGACCCCCTTACTGGTCTCACCTCCGAAGGCTACAACGGCAAGGGCCACGTTCAGTCTCCCTCTGCCAGCGCATAAATTTCGCATACTTTTATTGGTGGTCAGGGGTAGACTCATCCCTCGTTCTCTCGGATATCGGCCATGTCAAACGAGTCTGTGAGGATCGGGGGAAAGGACAGTGGTGGCATTGGAATGCTTTGGGGCGCTTAACACTTGGGTTGGTGTGTAAATACTGTACAGCTGACAATGCATTATCATTTCCTTTAGCCGGCGCGTTCGTTTGTTGTCCGGTGTACATGGGAGTAATGGGGTTTGGGGAGATATGGAACTTGGTAGAGAGGAGTGAGCGGATGGGGATAGCTAGATTCGGGCAGTGAGGCCAAGCTCCTGGATATCAAGATGAAACGAGGTATTTGAGGATTTTAGAGGAGTAGGATCGTCACACGTGGAAAGAAGCTTCCGAGCTTTTAAAGTGCCCAACACCTTTTCAGGATGACGTCTCTTTATCCCTGCCAGGTGTTTCGCTACTAGTAAGAAATGACACTGTTCGTTTGTTTGTTTACTTGACATGGCCGAAAAAGGGGTAAGCTACCCTGCTCTCAGCACCCAGCCGTATCGATGAGTCCACAAGCATTCACATCCGGGCCTTCGGGACGAGAACGCCACTCATAGTCCCGCCTCGTCCAGATGCTCTTTCTTCGTCCAGATGTTTTTGCCTGCTGCGGCTATCCCCTCGTGACCAACCCTCATCCATGAAGTTGCTGGATTTATTTCAGACTGTGTGCGGGGCTGCATCCCTCTGCGGGCTCTTCCCCCTCCTGGCAGACATCCCATTCAATCCATCTCTCCAGTGCTTCACCAGTTCACCTTGCTTCTCTACCTGCTTTCTGTTCGTTTCTCCTTTTGTATGCCAGTCTTCATCATGCCTCGGATGTGTTTGATGCGCTACACAACAGCCGATCTTGCGGTCAGAACACACTTGTGTGTATGCGGGATCTTCTCATGTCTCCTTAGAAAATATTTATTCTTACTCCGATTACGAAGGTGTTCAGCTCCTGGACTGCCTTTCAATTGCTATGAGATAACATCATACGCCGCTCAGCTGTCGGCGACTATGACAGAGCGACAAATCGAGCTCCTGTCTAGGTGCTACATCAAGTGAACGTCTCTACATCCAACTTGCACCTCCCAGACGTCGAGAGATATCACGAGTCCAGCCACTTCGCGCGGTATCTAGGTAGGCATTCGGATGAACCCAACATCACGAAAGTCGAACCAAGCGGACGTGTGATCTATTGCATGATCGAAGTCATCGCCGTCCGAACAACCATAATGGCCGTGGAGTTGAATCTCGATGTCGACCCAAACAAACCCCCTCAGTCCTCCGTCGTTCACCTGGCCCGGTGTTGGGTTGTACGTAGATCCAGCCGGTGGGGTTTCCCCCACAATTTATGTCTGTCATGCAACGGAACCCCGCAACATCATTGTGCACGGGTGTTTTGTGCATGTCGCATGAATAGGCATAAGCCAGGAAAAGGCATAAGCCAGGGACAAGAATGGAAAACGGACAGAACGGAATTTTCTTCGCGATCAGCTGAACGTCAACGACCATCTATTCATATCCAGACTCTCTATCCAGACACCTCATCTTTCAGAAAGGTGAAGCCCAACTTCGACCCAAGATGGATACCGAAATGGAGCAGAGACTCGGGAGGGTGTCACATGATGGAAAATCATAATTTGAGAGGCGTTCTAGAATTCAATATCCATGGTAGGATCCTACGGTAAGATACTCCGAGCTACCGGAAAGCTCGTAACGACGTTCTGGGCACGCTGGGAGCTGAGGAGCCGCATAATTTATAGAAGTGGGGTCAAGGGCATCAGTGACAGTGAGACTGTCATTGGAAAGGAAGGGCAAAGCGAGCTCCCTTCGGGCAGCAGCAGCAGCAGCAGCAGCAGCAGCAGATGATGATGATGAGTGAGGGACCTCCTCGAACTTCTGTTCTCTTTCATCACAGTCCAGTCCTTATTCATCAACTCCGATTCATATCAACTTACGCCTCATTGGCGGATAATAAGGGCTGACTATGTATGTACTGCGGTTACGAGCAAAAGTTTTACCTCCCTGTCAGGTATCTTGCACTGACCACTAAAGCTAAAGCTTCGTGGGCACTGTGTGTCCAAAGACCTGATCCACGGGTTTAACTTACCCATCTCACCATAGTACTGTACTGTATGTGAGTTTTGCGGGTGGCATCATTCGACGTTGAGGTCTGCGAGGACGCGGGTTACTGGAATAGGAAAAGAGCCGAAAGCTGACGGGAGGTTTTGAAGAACCCGTTGCCCGCTAGGCTCTGAGAGGCAAAGCCGGGGAAGGGACAAAAAAAAAGGAGGGGGCGTGGTGCAGTTGGAAGCTCTGAATGGAAGGTGGGGGGGGGGGGGG